GAGAAGGCACGGATATGCATGGAAAATGCTGAAACCAGTCCGATTTTCCGGGAAAATCGCTCCACCTTTGTTCGGCCGAAATGTATTGAAGCCATCGTTAAATGCAAGCCACCTCAATGCAAAACATCCTTTGACTAATAACGTGCTCTTCTAATGACTTAGCCAGAATTGTAAAAGGTGGAAAAAGTACCCGTGTGCGCCTTATTTGCCAGGGAAACCATATTGTATTCAGGATGCCCTCCTGGAACCGAAATCAATCGCTTGATTCGAAAGCAAAAAGCAAAGGTACGACTACCACCGAGCGGGGATGATAGATCCCCCCAAGCCTGTGAAAAAATAAAGGATTTTTGGTATTCAAAAAATAAGCAACAAACAAATTGTTCTGATATAGCCCCCCACAAAGAAATATCCAAAATCCGCCACTGACTGTCACAAATATCATTTTCAGTGCGGTGATAATACCGAAAAGGCCTCCTAATTCGTTCTGAAAACCTGATCTTGATTCATGGTCTCGCATTGATTTTCTCTCGACAGCCTCAAAAAGGGGGCGGAGTGGGCGGGGCCACAAACATTTGTGGCATTCGTCGTCGTCGGTGTGTTTTTGTATGTGTGTGTGTATGTGCGTGTGTATCGGTACTGGCGAATGTGCATGTGGTTGTGTGTTTGTTTCGGTTTCCTTCACTTACACTTGTCCTTACAAATTTGTCCTTTTCTCAAATGTGAAAAGACGCATAATGTCCTTTTTACTCGCCCCTCTCTTCCGTTTACCCACACCCCCTCCCTTTCTCCTGGTCCGCTACTCGTTGCCCCCAGCTTTGCTCTTCCTTCCTCTTCCCTTTGTCCCTTCGGTTCCTCCTTCTATCTCCCCCTCCTCTGTTTTTCTGCCCTTTGTTACTACTGCGGTGTACCCTGGAAAAGGGTATACATAAATAGGCATTCATTAAGAAATAAAATTAGCAAATTAATATTTTGAAAATATATATTTATATTTAGTTTATAAGTTTATAAAGAGAAAACATTTATTTAAAATTATGAATAAATTAAAACATATATTTTCCTATTTTTTATCCTGCCACAGTTTTTCCTTTTAAGCTGTTTTTAATAAAACATACAACCTATAAAATGTTTTATACCTTCCACAAATATCCTTCAAATTGCAAAATAAACCTTTTTTCTTAAAATGTATCTGGTAATCTTGAATTTATCATAATAGTTTGGTTTGGTACAGTTTAAGAACAGCTCAAATTAATAGCGTTTTCATAGCAACAGTTTTGTCTTTTAAACTGTTGTTAATAAAATATACAAACTATAAAATGTTTTATGTCTTCCGCAGATATCTTTAAAATTACAGAACAAACCTTTCTTTTAAAAATGTATCTTGCTATCTTGAATTTATCATATTTATTTGGTACAGTTTAAGAACAGCTCAAATTAAAAGCCCCGTTTAATACCATTCACCGAAAGTAAAGGCAACAATTTAAAGCTACCTAAATGGGATTGGCCTGCCATGTTGTAAGAGTTATTATTTGTGGTACATGTATATCTTCCAGCCGTCTTAACAATAATAGACCTTTAAGGGTATTCTAAGCCATGGTCCCCCAAGCCAGCCTTCCTTTCTTGTTATATTTCTTTTTGTTGACGACATTTTGCCTCGTCGTCGTTGTCGTCTGTCGTTTATTTTGTGTGTGTTTTCCTTTTATTTTTTTGTTCGCTTTTCCCATTTTTGTTTTGTCCTTTCTGTGTCTCTGCTGACGTTGGCTGCTGCTGAATCTGCTGCTGGCGCTTGCCGCCCACATTTGCTACTTGTAAATTATTTGCATTAGTAGCCACTTGTGCTTTGCTGTGCTGTGTGAGTGTGAGTGTGAGTGTGTGCCTCGGGTCGAGGAAAATTCACCATACCCCTCCCCCCTCCCCTTTCGCACTTTTTCCCCAACTTTTCCTGAGCCCCAGTCCGATTCATACCGTTTTTGGGGACGAATCCAGCACTCGAAATGGAACTTGACCCACTGTGCGTGGCTCACTGTGCGTGTTTGTTTAGACATATACACTCTCGCACACTCGTTTGTATGTTTTCGCATTGAAATTTTCATTTTTCTTTTTGTTGCTGCCTCCCCCTTCCCCTCCCCCGTTTTTCGTGCTGGCCTGGCCTGCACTTAAATTAACTGATTGCAACATTCTATACAGCTTTTTATGGCCCGATATGGGGGCGCGGTGGCTACTCAGCCTTTTGCATAGTTTTTGCGAATCCCAAAAAGGGGCGGCAATGGCAGTGGGCGGGGCTGGCCACATGGGAGTTCTCTCTTTTAAGTGGCCAGTAAATGCGGTTTCTTCTACTTGGCCAAGTGTACGATGGAGGCTTGTGCTTAAAATGCTTGAATCGAATCAACATTTATTTTCTTAGCTCTCTTAGCATAAAAAAATAAAAATAAATTTAGCTTTGTACGGATCTCCTTTTAAACTAACCAATTAAAAGGAATTTTTTGTTATTAAAAATGAATTTATCTTCTATAAAAATAAAACATCACATATTTAGTGATTACAATCTTTTTAATTTGTTCTTGGCTATTATTTTAAAATGAAAAAAAAAGTATAATTTAAAAGCCCTTCCACTGTTGCCATCACTCCTTACGCCCAGCCATTTCTCTCTGCCTGCGAACGTGCCAAACATGCTATGCAGCATTGCGTGCTCACAACGTGGCGTATGCGCAATATTTACTTCCTCCTCGCCGCATGAAGGCAAAAATGCATTAAACAAGACAACGGCAATAACAACAATCGACATGCGGAGATGTGGGATAATGAGGCGGCGAGTTTGGGGAATTGCTGTTCGTTTAAAGACAGCGATTTCATTCCCTGCTTGCTAATTGCGTATACGACATGTGTGATCCCCCACTTGATAAGCCGCGAAATAATTAACTGAAATGGCTCTCCGAATGAGAGTTGTTGAGTTGGTTGTTTGTTGTTTTGCTCGGCTAATATTTAAAGAAGTGATTGTGGGGGCCTGGGCCTAAATGATGGCATACTTTAAGGGTTCTTCATTTGCTGTACCAAAAAATAAGCCAACTGGGATTGCGTGGGATATTCTTTTAATAGATGCAATCGATGAATAAAAATAAACATAAAATAAGAGAGAGGAAGCTGCTACAAATGGGCAGAACAATTTACATAATCACTGAGCATTCAGCGGCAGGACCAAATATAGCGACCGAAATGGGAACCGGAAATAGGAAGCCCAGTCAAGCAGAATGCCCGGCTGTGTATTATATGGTATATATACATATATACGAATACGGACGCGTCCTTCGCCTCGCAGCGATTTATCAAAGTTCATTGAAATTGTTTGCCCGCTGCTCGCCGCCCGCTGCCCAAACATGTCCTTGAAGGGGGAGGCATTGGGGGTGGGTGTTGGTGTCCAACGTCCTTGCCACTCGCTACTGCTGCTGATGATGACGACGTCATTCATTAAAATTTTCGCCCGTTATAAGTTTGGGCATTAAGCATTAAGCAGCGGCAGCAGCAGCAGCAGCAGCATTGAGATGTCAAGCGAATTACAGGCCCCAAACAAATGCCATAAAAGCCATTCACAGTGTGCAAAACTTTTCTCTCTGTTTTTCTTTTCGTTTGCCAATTTGATTTATTGCCGGGCCCGGGGAGATGTAATCGTGAAATGGCAAATGCCTCTGTGTGGGCCGTTTGGGGTGTAATTTTTCCAACTGTCATGAGTCCAACGGCCGGGGAACAATTTCGTATGCGTTTTTTTCTCAGAGGACTCGTGTCACGGGTTCACCTCTCTCCCACGCAGACGAAAAGTCAATGCGTGGTCTTTGATTAATTCTCATATTATATGCTTTATTAAGCTTTCTGCCCCCGAAAAACAGATGGCCGTGGAAAAACGACAGCCATTGTTATGCGTATAAGAGTTATAACTCTTTTGTTGGCAGCCTCTGACTTTGGCCATTTATTTATTTATTTGCCCACCCTCGTATCTCTATTTTGACCTGTCATGCTCAGATCTGGTATGTTTCACTGAAATTACCCCCGAAATAAATTGCTAATGATCATTTTTAGAGGCCTGGCATGTGACGGCCCGTTTGCCTGGACTCCTAGTATATGGCGAGCCCCTCGCTGATACGAGATTACTAATACAGTCCGTCTGCCGTTCGTCTGTCTGATAGATAAACAAACAAGTGCAAAGTCCACCGAGCCAGACGCAAAAAACAAGAAAAAACACACAAAAACCTGAAGGTTTGAGTCGTGATGTTTTTGCACAAATGATTGAAAAATTCTGTAGATCATAATTGCATAGCTTATTCTTCTAAATCGCATTGTAAGTGTTCGCCATAATTAGATGTTTCTTCGTTGAACGTTCTTTTATTTTTATTGAACGATTTTATTTGATTTAACTTAACTAACTAATAATAACTAAAACACATTTGCAATTCCTGATTTATTGGTTGAACTTAATTTTTGGGTTTGGAAATTAAAAGAACCGAACCCGGAAATAATGATCATCTTCTCCCCACGTGCAAGTATTTTCAGTGATATCTTTGCAAAACAAACAATTAATGAAATAATTTAAATTTACTGCAACCATAATACTTATTATGTTTTAAGGTTTTAGGGCTTCCAATAATTTGGAGGTACTCTATTCTGTTAAGGCCTCTAATAATTTGGGGGTACTCTATTCTGTACCTGCGATTACGATCTAGCTGCACCTACCAGATAAAAATAGAAGATAACTTTGGACTATGACTTCACATGACGGACCAGATTCTATAAAGATATGAGGGCAGGCGAAAACTGATTGCAAATGGGAATAGGAAGAGCCGGGAGAGCTCTCTTGTCTAATCGCAGAGTGGACCAATCCGAAGCGAGCTGAATGACCTGGCTTTCCTATAAAAGCAAGCGGCGCAAGCGATTCTTCAATCTGCTCCACCCGTGATCGGTTCAGATTTTAATTGCTGCCCGAGAAACAGGTTTCCCTATAACAGTATTTGAAAATGTGGTTCGCTGTGCTCGCTGTCGTGTTTTTGCCACTGATCGTTCTGTTGTACTTTGAACTCAGGGCCTCGCATCGCCGCCAACTGCTCAAGGAATTCAATGGACCCACTCCGGTGGCCGTTTTGGGCAATGCCAATCGCATTGGCAAAAATCCGGCAGGTCAGTTCCAAACCCAGAAGTTCTGCAATTGGGGGCTCGACTGGCAGCCTAGACTGCGAGCTGATAACGAATTAGTGGGCGTTATCAGTCGTACTATAACCGGCTGTGGCGAAATTTACGGCGGACTCGTGCCCCTCTAGCCATATGGACAAAGATCGCTCTGATTTAATCTCAATCGCTTGATTGTTTTTCACAGAGATACTGGCCACGTTCTTCGATTGGTGGTACGACTACGGCAAGGATAACTTTCTCTTTTGGATCGGATACAGTGCTCACATTGTGATGACCAATCCCAAGCAACTGGAGGTAAGTTTGTGATAGATAAGGGGTATAAAGGTATTTCTATTTAAATGGGAATAAAAAGAAAATGTGTTATAAGTTAATTTTTAAGATTATTTTTAAAAAGACGGAAAAAAGACAGCTACTACCATTTTTATGTGTAAATGGTTCAAGAACTTAGAAAAAATATTCGCATACTTATAGACATAGTTTTTGATATACTCGAATTAAATTTAAAGGCAATAATATCCCAATGCATTCCCCCAGTACATTTTAAACAGTCAGCAGTTGATACAAAAGTCCACCATCTATGACCTCCTGCATCCTTGGCTGGGCGCTGGCCTTCTAACGAGTTATGGCAGCAAATGGCACAAGCACCGCAAGATGATAACCCCGTCATTTCACTTCAACATCCTGCAGGACTTTCACGAGGTGATGAACCAGAACTCCAGCAAGTTCATGGTCCAGTTGAAGAAAGCAAGTGCCGGCGATAGTATCATTGACTTCCAGGAGCATGCCAATTATCTTACCTTGGATGTCATTTGTGACACGGCCATGGGAGTGCCTATTAATGCCATGGAGGAGCGTGACTCCTCCATTGTCCAGGCTTTCAGAGAGTAAGTTCAGAAAAAATGGCATTTAAAATTATAAAATTCCAGCTAACTTTATGATTTTAGCATGTGCTACAACATCAACATGCGGGCATTCCATCCATTCAAGCGGTCTTACAGGTCCTTTAGTCTTACTCCTGAGTTTCCAGCTTATCAGCGAACATTGAAGACGCTGCAGGACTTCACCTATAACATCATCGAAAAGCGCGTGGAGGCTCTCCAGAATGGAAGTTCCAAGGGGGAGCATGATTCCTCCTTGCCCCGCAAGAAGATGGCTTTTCTGGACACGCTGCTATCCTCCACCATCGATGGCCGTCCTCTGACCAGGCAAGAGATCTACGAGGAGGTGTCCACCTTTATGTTCGAGGGCCACGACACAACCACCTCGGGAGTGTCCTTCGCGGGATATCTACTATCGCGACATCCTAATGTTCAGGTAATGTGTAGAATTGTGTCTTATTATTTCGCTTATTTATCTATTTTAACTGCAGATGAAGCTGTATCAAGAGCAGTGCGAAATTATGGGCAATGATATGAGCAGAGATGCCAGTTTCCAGGAGATTGCCCAAATGAAATATCTAGATCTGTTTATCAAGGAGGCACAACGCGTCTATCCCAGCGTTCCGTTTATTGGTCGCTATTGTGACAAGGACTACGACATCAGTAAGTCTTATAATAATGTTTATAAAAAATATAATTATTATAAATTAATGTTCCATTGTTTAGATGGCAGTATAGTTCCCAAGGGCACCACTTTAAACTTGGCTCTCGTTCTTTTGGGCTACAATGAACGTGTTTTTAAGGACCCCCATCATTTTCGACCCGAGCGATTTGAGGAGGAAAAACCGGGTCCTTTTGAATACGTACCTTTCAGTGCTGGACCCCGTAACTGCATTGGTCAAAAGTTTGCCCTCCTGGAACTCAAGACTGTGATATCCAAGTTGGTGCGATCCTTTGAGGTGCTTCCAGCAGTCGACGAGTTGGTCTCCAAGGATGGCCGGCTAAACACTTACCTTGGACTCTCCCCCGGTGAAAAGTTAAAGCGCGAAGCTGGGCGCCACAAATACGATCCAGTTCTATCGGCGGTCCTAACCCTTAAATCCGACAATGGTCTGCACCTTCGTCTCAGGGAACGGTGCTCCTGATTAAAAAGGATTTTTTTTAAAACCTTAAGTACCTTAACAATATTTTATGTAGTATCTATTTCCTTGCCTTTAAAATATCTATACCAAGAAATAAATAATGTCTCGGTGATAATCTTTATGATTTTATTATTATTGTTTCGCTTATCTGTTAACTAAGACCAGCGATTGCTTTCAAGTGTATCAGTATTATCAGCTAAATCACTGGTTATTAGCTTCTTATCTGGAAAATAATGAACTAATAAAGCACAGAATCATCAAAAGTAATGTAAATTATATTTTATTTCTTTATTTTTGTGATGTTAGAGAAGTTTACACAACTGAAACCAACAAATATGCTTATACATTATCAAATACCTACATTTTATTATTAAGACAATTCTTTTCGATTTTTAAATTCATGCTGAGGGCTATTTCTCCGTTCTGGCAAAGGACCACCTTACACCGAAGTTGCAGACCAAAAATAGCAGAACCTTCAGTCTGAGATTCATTTCGGTATTGAGTTAATGCTGTAGCCTTCCACGGCTATTTATAGCTTGCTCTTATCGAATTTCAGCATTTGCCATGGGTTGCATAACTGATTATAATTTAATTAGGAACGGTTTGCTGGTAGATGGAATGTGAAAATTCCTGATTTTATCAGGTAAAAAGCGAAAACAAAACTTTAAATCTTTTTATCGCCTTATTTGAAGAAAAACTCATCTGGACTAAGTAGTTCTTACGATTTATAAGATAGATATATGTATAAAATAAAAAAATCACTAATTGCTATTAAATAAAACATATAAAATCCCAAGAAGCCTTTTTAATATAATTTTAAATTTCAGCAAAATAATTTGAATAAAGCCATTTAAATTGATTTCCTCTTAGGTGGAAGTTGTCGACTAAGTAAAAATTCCTGCAGACCTTGTAGTTAAATTTTAAATTCCGAATTTTCGACTATTTCGTTCCAACTTGTTTCGCTCTCTTGTCGCCATAAATATTTGATGTGACGGCAAACTTGGCGGCTATCAATGGGGCGTGGGGTTGGGATTGGATTGGGGTTTTTGGCGGGCGGCTTTTGGGGGTGGGGGTAGGGAGGTGGATAGGGAGTTACTGGATTTGGGGTCGGGGATTTGGCATTGTTGTGCGTAGAAGTATCCGAGGTATGCGGCGTACCAAAACCGGGCATAATCAAAATACAATTGTGCGTGGAGAGTGTGTATTGGTGTGTGTGCTATCCCTTCTGTGTGTGTATTCGTTTCGGGCTTCTGTATGTGTGTGTGTGTTGTAACGCATGCACAAACGTTTATTTCTTTCTTTCTTTTGGCGTTTGTTTGAGTGGGTGGCGTGGGGTGGAGAGTGAGAGTAAGAGAGAGGGAGACCACCTGGAGCGCCGAACAGCTGCGCGTTCTCTCTCTCTCTCTCTTCTTCTTCTCGTACCCCCGAAAGTATGCTATAAACTGGAAACCCGAGAGCGGCAGCAGGATATGATTCGTTCCGATGGGTTAAATGCAAATATGTGCGAACGGAAGTCATCGTAAATTAATTAATTACAAATCGAAGCGATGCTCGAAGATAAAAGCCAGCAGCTGAAAATGAAACCAAAGCCAAGAGCGAGACCGAACCCGATCCTGGCCAGCTGAATGGGTAGAAACCCATCCTCCCTGCCGACGACTGGAAGTCGGGGTCCTTTCGGCTCCATTCGGTTGCCATTCGGCCTTCCACGGACGTCGTGCCTGTGGCCTCCGGACTCGTGGCCGCCTGCCAGGGACCCCAAAACGTTTTCGGGCGCTGTGCTGACAACATCCTCGCAGGACCAACGAGCGGATGGTGCGTCCAAGAGTCCTCCTGCTCAGTGTATGTGTGTGCAGAAACTTTTAACCGTGTGCGCCGTCTGCTGTGTGCTGAGTGTGTGTGTGTGTGTTGGTGCGCGAGGTGTTGGAAAATTTATTGCAGTTTGAAAAATCAAAGGAAAAACTTAAGCCGTATCTAAAAAGCTCACCTCACTGGCCAAAAAGTCCAATAACAAAAAATATTCCATACAAAAGCCAATTTTTATATAATCAAGCAATAAAAAGCCACAAAATGGTGGAAATGGGAAGGAGGGGGGCGAACGGGGGCGGCGGCCGAGGAAAAGCGTTTTTCGGTCGTCTGTGTGAGTGCAGAAACATTAATGGCAGCCCCCTGTTCGTGCCTGCTGTGCGTTGGTGTGTGTGAGTCTGAGCCTTCTCGTGCTTGAGGCCTTTTTCATAAAGAGGTCAAAACGTTGCTTTCGCCTTGTTCGTGTGAGTGTGTGCTGTGTGTGTGTGTGTGCTAGTGTGAGTGTGCAGAGTTTCTTCATGCTTTCAGGTTGCCTTCTTTTTCGGCTGGTCAAGTCAAGAAGAAAACTTAACAGTCAGACTTTCGGCTGTCACGAGTTCGACCCCGTTCTTAAAGCGACCCCGCCCCTTTAAAGTTGCCCAGCAAATGATATAACAATTAGCCAGCCGTTCCCATTTGCCCCTGTTATTTTCAGCTTGGCTTAAAGCGCGGCTAATGGGTTCTAGGTGGCTTTTCCGCCGATTACTTTTAAATGCCAGGCTATGGTCAAAATTATATAAAATCCCTGTTCCTCTGAGGACCTAAATTTTAATTACACCATCATAAACAATTTTAAAAAATTTTAAATTTTAATTTTTTTTACAAAACATATTTCTAATGGAAGAAATTAATTTAATTGTAAAATTAAAAACCCTAATGCCTTATTGCTTAATTTAAAGAAGATTTAAAAAAAATTCCAAACTTTGTTAGCTGGGTAATAGAACCATAAAAAAAATATTAAATGTCCGCTGGTTACCTCAAAATGATGGGGCAATTATGTAAAGCAAAGAAAGCGCAAAAATGTTACGCAACTTTCTAAAAAAAAAAGAACCACAAAACATAGCGGGGCAAAAACATAATTAATAACAAAGCCACACGGTTGAATTCTTCGACCAACTCTGGCCTACGGCTAAAAATAGCTGGAAAAAAGGACAAAAAGATCCTGAAGCGGAGGATGGGAAGGGGGCAGGATTAGCGGGAGAAAGGAGGGACTAGGACTAGAAGCAGCGGGAGCTACTCAAAGCATAACAATGAACATAACCGCACATTCAGCCAGAAGCAGTAAAAAACGGCAAGTGGGCGGGGAAATGAGGCGCGGGGCGGAGTCACCTACTAAACCTAAATGAAAGTAAAAATTGTAAGCGTAAGCTAAAACAACAAACACAGCAGCAAACGAAAGCAAAAGCAAAGAAAAAGCCGTGAGAAAAGCGATAAGGCCTAGCAGATAAGCGGCATCCAGTGAGAGGGACGGGAAAATGGGGGTGGAGAGCGCGGAAAATTGCGGGACAGAGCGGAGAGCCTGGAAAATGGCAAAGAGAAAAGTGCGGCCAAAAGAGTGTGTGATGAAATCTGACATTTTTGTTAACAAGCGAGCTAATAATACAAACAAATCTGGAGCAAAATGTGCCTCTTAAAATTGTTTAATTTTTTAATTTAGATTCATTAAAAATATTTTGGAAAGGTTTTAATTAATTGCTAATTTAATTTAATTGCTAAATTAGATTATATCAATAATAAATTTAATTTTTCCTACAAATTTATCCTTATATAAATATTTAATTTATAAAAAAAATACATTTTGGAAATAGTTTTTCTTGCCCTTCAAAATGTTTGTATATTTTATAAGGAAAACAAATTGAATAAGCTTTATAGCACCAAATAATGGCTCTAACTTTGACTGCACTACTTCTTCTATAAATTGTGTGTGATATAATGTGATGCATCTGAATGCGTGGTTTAAGGTCTAATTAATCAGAGAAAAATAATATAATTTATAAGGAAAACAAATTGTTTAAATGTACCATAAAATGCTTAGTATTTATTTTCGATTTTTTTCCACAGACAGCCATCCTTTGAAGCTTAACAGCCATCGAGCGAAGCCTTCGAAAATGTAAACAAAAGCGACGCAGGCGCAGCAGTACTCTCTCCCTCACACCTCAAGCAGTTTGGAAAGGAAAGGCAGGGAAAGCCGAGCTTCCAGGTCGGCTATCGGCGGCCGTCGGTTTTCCAGCCCACATCCTGGCCAGGCTCAAAAACAGGCTCAGGCAGCCAGCGCTCACAACGCCAGCAGAGTGCGCAGCGTGATGTAGTCCAGAGCTCCAGAGCCAGCTCCAGTTTTCAGCTGCAGACCGAGACCGATAAATCCAGCTCCAGCCACTCAGGGAAACTTTTCCACACTCGAGCACGCACACAGGGGCAGGTCGGAAAAGCTGAGAAGCGGAAAAGCGGAAAAGCCTCAGACAAATGGCCAGGAATAGCAGCAGCGGCGAACGCAGCAGCACCAGCAGCAGCAGCAGCAGCAGTGCCACAGAAGCGGGGCAGCCGTGAAAAAAAGAGGAGGCGTGAAAAATACCACAAAATAGCACGGGGGCAGCAGTGTGCCGTGTGTGTGTTTGTGTGAAAATCTAGGGGAAAAGCGCGCCCCGTGGAAATGGAAATGGGCATGCTGGGGCTTCTTCTGTTAGCCACGCCAGCAGCGGAAGTAGCAGCAACATTAGCCGAAACGGAAACAGAAACAGCAGCCTGAATCCGCGACCGCTTCCAATTTATCCGTTCTCCGCTCTCCGTTCTCCGTTCCGTGTTAATTGTTATTTATGTATAGTGTGTATATAAAGTTGTGTGATACAAATGGATCGCAAGGATCTGGCCGAAAGAGAGAAACTCTAATCTAAACTCAGTCTCAGTCTAATCAAAAGCGTACAACGACAACAAACGGTTTTGCAAGTGAAACGATAACACCAAACGATAACCAAACCAAACCAACAACATTATTCCAACGGGTCCAATGTTGCAGCCAACAACATGCAGCAAACAGCAACAGCAGAGGCAGCAAACAGCAATCGCAGCAGCAGCAGCAGCAGTGGAAGGAGCAGCTAAAGATCATGGAGCCTTAGCAGCCGCAGCAGTAGCAGCCACTGCAACAGCGACAGCAGCAGCAACTGCAACAGCAGCAGCAACCGCAGCAGCAACCGCAGCAGCAACAACAAGCAGCAGCAGCAGCAGCAACACTTGGTGCCACAGCGACAACATGTTGTCCGTAGGCCATAGCCGCACCACCAGCACAACGATAGACTTCAATAGTCGCCGGCGGAGGGGGCGCCTACGGGGCCACGCCCCCTTTGTCCTGGCGGAGAACAAGCAACACCAAGCTACGATACTGGACGAGTGTGTAAATATTTTCAAGCGCTTAGTATTATTAACATTAAAAACAATATCAGCAACAACAATAACGAAAGCGAAGACAAGAAGCAGAGCGGCAACTGCAACATCTGCAACATCTCGTGGTGCCTCCGTGGATGAGCAGCTGCTCCATCCAAGCAGCCGCAGCCGCTGCAGAAGTCCCCGCTGCCTCCGCCTGCCGATCTACAGCATCCTGCTGCTCTGCCTGGCCAGCCAGGGATTGGGACTCGGCGATGCCCACAAGCCCAAGTCGGCCAAGCAGCACTTCGGTGGCGGCAATAGCCCCAATCAGAACCAGAACCAGAACCACAACGATGTCCTGGGCGGGGTGGGCGCCCCGTCGCAGACGTCCGGCGAGGACGAGGCCGAGATCATGTACCCCTTCCAGTCCGGGGAGCAGATGTTCGGCCTGGAGGAGGACCAGGAGCAGGACCAGGAGCTCAACTCCAATGCAGTGCCCGGCTCCGACGAGGATAATGCGGCCAATCCACGTGGTATCAATGGTGAGTCCTTTTCCCTTTCCCTCTGCTTTTTATTCCCTGTCCAATTGCCATTCCTTCGCGTATGTGGAATTTTGCATCTGCAAGTGGGTCTTTGACTAATGGCATTCGTATTCAAATGAGCCAGTCAATTTTTGGGCTGGGCGGTGCCATGCGTAAAACTTTTCAGCGAAGACAAATTGAATTTGCCTTGCATGGGGCATCGATGAGTGCGAATCGAGCGTGAGTGCTGAGAAATGATAGCGAATAAAAGTTCAAGGCCCGGAATCAGACAAATGTTTAATGGGGAGACAGGTACATACTTGGTCCGCCCACACGGCGTATGCGTTACCCATCCCGTCAGAAGATTGATCTTGAGAAATTTGTTTAAGGTGCTAATTTTAGAAAGAAATTCAGGAAACCAAATTACAATGCCCCAGGTTATAAAGCACACTTTGGAAACATTTTTTTAGGCAGATTAATTTTATTTAATCTAAAATACTTATTACAGACTTTTAGTTAGACTGTTTAGTTTAACAATATTTATTTTATAATTTAAAATTTAAATTGTGTGCATTTGCCTATAGAAACTAATTAGTTTACGTTTATTAGTTGTTGCATTATATTAAAAATTGTTATTATTTATTTCCCAACAATGGGAGTAAGCAAGAAGTAAGATATTTCCGGCATCCTCATCTATGGCAATTATTAATTTTCAACCACACTGCGTATGAGCGATATTTATGTGCTTGCATTGCGTATACGTAACGTGGGCCATGAAGTGTCCGTCGCTGAGGCGAAACAGCCACAGTAATTCCCGCAAAACTCATATGCGCTGCGTATACGTAATATGGCGAACATAAATTATCCCGGCCGCAGCATAAGCGACTGCAAATGAACATAATGGAACAACTGTCTGCAGTTGGCCGATGAAATATATGTATATATATATGGGCATTTCCAGGAAAAAGTCAACCAAACCCCAAATATTAAATGTTGGCGGAAAATTTTCTTTTTTGGTTTAAAAATAGCATTGGTATCTATATTTTGTAAATCAATAACATTTCCTTCCAAATTAATTTTTTACACGAAGATATGCGGCTTTCAAACACGAGCAACACATACTGTATATCTCAGCAACATTTTGTTGCGTTTTTGTAATATTGCTACGCCTTCTGTGGAAGTCTAAAGATCAAGCAACCAATACTATAAATTAGTTTAAGGCAAATGCTATCAGGAAAAAATTAAGACTTCTTTAATATTAATGGATTATATGTCTTAATTGAAGTTTGTTTTTTAACATTTTTAATGTCGCGTCCGTAATCAAAAAACCAAATTTTTTCTTTTCACTCGATCAATTTGCGACACCTATAAACCAGCTCTTATGCCTAAAGCAAGGATAGTTGGAACAAATTAATTATAATTTTTTGAAAAAAAATTAGCGCGTTGATATTTTTAAAGAAATTTTAAAGTCTGTCGCGTCCGTAATTTATATTTTGTATTTCCAAAAAACAATTGATCATAATTTTTGTGTAGCTAATTGTTTTATTTGCTGCTATGAAAAACGTCGATGGCCTTGCTTTTCCTTGTCATTTACTTTATATAATAATATTTGTATTATTCACAACAAATTTTGCTATCGAAGAGAAAGCACTTCTTTTAGATACTTTTAAGATTTTTAAGATGGAAAAAAAAGAAAAAAATAGAGCTAGCGCGAGAAAGTACAGGGAGAAATTGTCTTTAAATCCCGATCGTTTGGAAAAATTCAAAGAAAAAGATAAATAAAAGATAAATAAAATATTATCAAGTCCCTTTGAATTTTTTCAATGCGCTCAGGAAAATTTACACGGAATAAACCTTATCTACATTGGCGCCAAGGAAGTGGAGGAATTTTCACTACCACTACAAGAAAAATGGAAAAATGTTGCACAGATTCCAGGAATAAGAAAAATACACTATGCATCCAGTAACAGAGAATTAGACATTTTTGTGGGTGTCACAGCCTTTTCAACAAAAAACAAAATTTAATATAATATACTAAACGTGCAACATAATTCGTAAATAAACTTATTATTTAAAGATAGGTATATATTCTTTAGCAGGTGTATTTTGATTAAATTTCTGCGTTTACTAGAAAAATTTAATTTAATTCTAACCACTTAGTCACATAGCTTTCATAGAACGAGCTATATAAAAACTATGTTTCAATTAAAAAGAGGTGGATAACGCTAAAATATTTTAACCAAACTTTAAAGTAGGGACTTTAGTAACACGTAAAATAGCTCTGCAACATTTTGACAAAATAAAAAGTTGCAATATTTTGTTAAGTAGCAACATGTCGCGTCCGTAATTGTCGCGTCCGTATTCTTGCACTAGTTTTAGAAAAAAAACCGCTGAATGTTTTGCCACACTTGCTTTGATGTGCGTGGTTACTCAGCAGGTATACTGGAAAAAAAATTCAAAAAAATTCGCCCTCTAGTTTCGCAGAATTTATGGTTTTTCGAAAGTTTTCAAAATTGCAGTTCTATTTTTGTCGCGTCCGTATTTCACTTATTTAATTTTATTTCTAAGAACTGGCTGGACAGATAATCTTAATTTTTTTAGCATAAATACAAGAGCGTCTAAGCTATCCAACAAAAAATTAAAAAGTAATAAATGTACACTGCGTCACTCTTATTTTTAGAGTTTAAGTTGAAAAAATGTCGCGTCCGTCACCCTGGAAATGCCCATATACATCTGTATGCGCCCAAGAGCGTGTTAATGTGTGCCCAGCACACATATGTTGGAATATATATATATTTTTCCTCTGTGCCACATCAGCGAAAGTCAAGATGTCTCCCCTTTTCCACCTTTTGCCACACTCTGCAACCTTTTTACCTTTTGCCCCTGATTCAGGCAGCCTGTGTGTTTCTGCTCCCGTGAGCGGCGCAGTCACATTTTGGCCAACAATTAAACCCAACATTGCACACGGAGCCCCGGAGCCATTTCTCATTTTAATGACTCAACCGAGCCAAGTCCTGTCAGAAAGTGGCTGGCTGCGAGAAGGGGCGAAAAAGTGATCGACTAGAGTTGACTCCCTTGTTTAAATAGACGAGAGAAATGGGTGATGTCAAAGGGGGGAAATCTCCGGATATGTATGGATGTTGATGATGTCAAGCCCCGATAAGCTAACCCCGGCCAAATCCCATCCAATCCAGTGCTTTGTTTGCCTTTGCTTTGGCCCGCCCTCCAGAAAGCCACCCAAAAGTAAATAAACCCACTCGTGACATACAAAACTATTCGAAGGCGGAACGTGTCCTGCGAACTGAAAAATGGAAACTGAGAGCTAAAAGCTGCAATTGCAATTGCAATTGCACGAGTACAACCAACCGAAATGCTTGTTGTGTGTAAATCAGGCTTTAAAATTAACGCAGATTGCTGGAACAAGCGACAGGCCACGAGCAATTAACATGAAACCAGCGGGAAAAAGTCCACAAAAAAAAAGGAAAATTCGGAGGACACACACAGCGAAAAATAATGCAGACAGAGCGGGCACATAACTCAGGTCACCCTCGTACATACAAATACATATAAATGTGCACTGGTCTTCTCTTCAGCGACCTTTGTTCGTAATTTTATATATATATATACGTGGTACGTGTGTACATATAGAAATTCCTGGCAGTGTGTGTGTATTTGCCTTGCTTTTGGCTTTTCTATTTTACCATCGACCCAAATTGCTAGCGCGCTCTCCGTATAATAACAACAAAAAAACACACACTCTTGGGTAAAATATAGTATAAGTATGTGCGGTAGTGTGTGTGTTTTTGAGGCACACGCAAACGTGGCTGTTAACGACGTTTCAGGCTCTCAACGTCGGCGTTTTTGTGGGTGGCGTTGGGCGGTGGGCGGTGGGTAGTGGGTGTTTTCGGGGCAGACCCTGAACAAAAAAAAAACAAGCAGAAAAAAAGGAAAGAAAATATAAAGTTAAGTAAAGACCTCGACCTAAACGGCAGGCGGCCAAAAACTTGCTGTAACTTTGTATGTATGCAAACATTTTGAAAAATGATTGAGAAAAACAAAAACAGAGACAGAAACAGAAGAAGAAGAAAATGAAAAAAACCCGAAAAAAAAAGAGGAAACCGAAACCGAAACGGCGGCGGAAAAGCCCGAAAAGAAGGCAACAGCAACGAGCACGCACAGCGCCTTAAACACAGAAATTTAAATCGATAAATCAAAATGCCAACAGCAGCAACAACATCAACAATATCGTCCTGGCAAGGACGTGTGAGTTGCATGCTAAAAGCCACGAGAGCGACGATGAAACAGCCAGAAAAACGAGCTCTTGTGGGTGGCAGGAAGCCGTTTCCTTCCTGCCTCCCAGCGATTTCACTACTGTGCTGTGTATTTTTCCGAGCTTGTACTGTGCTTTTGTGGGGTTTGTGTTGCTTTTCGGTCTGAAAATGAACTGAAATGACAACATTTGGCCGTCTTTTTAATTATTGACATTCTCCCGAGCCCCCCAAACCCCCATTGCCAGTGTCCTTCCAATCCTTGTGGCCACTAATTGCCCCTCCGCCCGCCTGTCTGTCTGCCTTGCTGTCTGATTTTTACCACGTTTGTGTGCTTTGGCTGCTGTGATTTGGCATTAATTTTAATCCCTGACTCAGCTCAGGTGAGCGGCCACAGGATTGGACATCCCACAGTCGCGACTTGGGTTCCAGTCGCAAATGAATCATGTGCCTGGAGGGGATTGGATATCAATGAATCGCCCTTATCGCCAAGTGATTCATGCGATCCGGGGTTTTGTGGCTAGAAAACCGGTTAGCAAATGCAACCTCACAACGGTATCGAGTGTCATTCACTGCGAATCGGCGTAAACAAATCTTTCTCGAATGGCAGCGAGCTATTCGAAAACATAATAGATACCAGATCGGGTTTTATTATGTTAATATGTCGTCTTCCAAGATATTTATGACTAGTCTTAACGACTAAAAAACAAATTATTCACAAATTAGCAAGAGATATGAATCGATTCCAACACCGAAATCTACTAAACACCAATAATAGGATTATGTTTACTACAAATCAGATTAAGCCGACGAGGCATACTTGATTTTCGAATTTATATGTGCTGTGGGGAAACCGCAATTAATTATTGCTGATTATCACTTTTAGTTTTGTACCAAAGGCATAAAAAATATTATTTGATTTATGTCCGTTTTCCAAACGTACTTAAAATGCAGATAACAGTTCCGATGGTAATAAGTTTAATTTATATATATATATAATTTAATCATATGTGAAACCCCCTGCTGTTATATTTCGGTCTAGAAAAACCTTTGCTGACTCATCCAGTTTTACGTTTCACTTTCTGGAATTTCTCATAAATCTCGTTCATATGTGGGTAATTCATGTGATTCTCGAAAGTTATTAAACCAGGCTCATAATCATAATAATACACAGATTTAAAATGGTGCTTATTCTCCAAGTACCTACTTGCCGTTACAAGCGCAGAATGCGAGGAGGAACTTCTTCAACAGATTTTTGAATATTATACCGACGGGCAGAGTTTAACAACTGCCATAAATTCACAAATGCGAAAATTAGTTTAAGAAACATTTCCCATTAAATTAAAGGTTTCCCATTCCGGTTTTCGGGGCTTTACTCATCGCAGTTCTCTGCCGAATTGGGTCAAGCACATAGTGTCGGGGTGGCATTATAATGTTGGCACTTTGGGCTTGGTCCACATCGGGATTGCCCTGGGGATAGAGCCGCTTTTGATTAGCTAAAATGCGGCCCACTCATGTGTGTATGTGTTTGTGGGTATGTGTGTTTGCTTTGGGCCCGAAACTGTGCCAAGTTATGGTCGCCTCGCCATAACTTTTGAAGGTGGCAAGGACTACCGCTGCCGCCGAGCAACCTTCATTGACAGCTAGCTGCTAATAGCCGTGATAAACCTTCTATGGCAATCCTTAAGTGCCCCAGCCCCATTCCCATTCCCCATCCACATCTGCACCGCATATTGAGCTCACTGCGCCAGGACGAGCGAGGCTCTTCTCACAGCCTGCATTGATTCAACAGCCACTTGACAACCCTGCATGCACTGAGGAAAACCATTACACATTTGAGTCTTAGATTTGCAAGCAAAAAAGTCTGTATCAATTTTTAATCGCTATTACTTAAAGACTTTAGGTAGGAGTTAGAGGTCTGCATGAATGCATTTAAACTGACAAATGAATCACTCATTCTTAAAACTTGTATAAGTTTTTCTGTATTCATTGCTTTAAATATGAGTGAATGCAGTACTTGTGACTGTATTGCCAAATACTGTACTCACTTTTCCAGACACAGTACAGTTTATTGTGAATACAGTGTTTTTGGTGTACAATAACTTATTGTACAGTGAATGAAGTTTTCCCAAAATTACAAGGCCTACTGAATTTATAAAATTTTAAAGCTTGCTTATTTCTTTGTAATATTGTAATCTATCCACTAGCAGAATAACTTAAAACCTAATGAAAGAGACGAAGTGTCGTTAGTCATAAAATATTGAGGTATTTATTAATACATTAATCGCTATTTAAGACATTTTCATTAATGCTGTCTATATTGGAGTTTAAAAACATTATTTTGTTGACCATGTCTTCAGTCGAAGCAATTTTGGAACGCTTTGCGGAAATTCGATTTTTTGCAATAGAAAACAAGCAAAGAAATAATATCGCACTCGGTATTCGTATTATTAGGCAAATCCATTCTCAGATTTAGCTACCGACAACTCTCACACTTTTTTTCTACTCAGAGTACAGTACTATACAATAGTAATTGAGACGACACTCATAGTATTTTTCAAATTGAGAAGCATACACATAGTACTAAAAAAGTGTTGCAACTCTAAAATAGTGTACTCAGTTAAAATCGGTATTGTGGGTACTCTGTACAATATTGTATGAGTACACTAAATGTGAGTACCGTATACAGCTGTACAGTACTGTAAGTTTTGAAATAAATACATTCATGCAGGCCTTTAGTAGGAGTTATGAAATGTAAATGTAAAATATTCTAGTGTTAGTTAAAATCTAAAAAAAGTTTTGAATGTTATTATGAAGAATTGGAAATATAACAGCGGGGAGTTTCCCTATTGCTAATTTAATTAAATATATATTATTCTTAAAAATAATCAAATTAAATTCATGCATTTTTTTGCTTAATGAGGCTCGTTTTAACTCGAACGTTAGGAATACTATTTTGTATTTAATCCGATGAGTACTCAAAACGCAATCTATGAACCTATTAAATTAAAATCAAAACCATTAAACATTCATAAATAATTATAAGCGAGTAAAATAAGCTACAAAATAATCCGATTGAATTTTAATTGAGGTAATAACCTACAATGCAAAGACCACTTGCAAGTTATCTCTTTTAAATACAGATAAAAATGATTCATAAACTAATGTGTGTTGTTGGAGTTCTCTTTCGAATGCCATAAAACCGATAATAACCATTGACATGCATTAATAGGCAATAAATATCAGAAAAAGATAGTGAGTGGAGATGACTAATTCGAGTAATATTTCTCGCAGTGTGCCGCGGCTTTTGCCGTTTTCAGTGGCTTGCATGTGCATTGCACGTTTGGCTTGCTCTGATTTTGGCTGCTTAGCTGCTTGGCTGGCTAATCGATTCGCCAGCCACCTTGAAACTCTGGCCGCTCTCAGCGGAGCGTTTTGGCCCGTGCCACAGCGCGCTGTCTCTCTGAAAAATTAGCAGGTGCTTTCACGTCAGGTGCTTTTCCGCGGGGTCAGAGAGCGTGAAAACGCGCGGACACCAGTTTTATCTGTGTGTTTGTGTGTAGCTGGCACTTCCGCTTTGAGCTACCATAATGAACTTCCGGCCAGGCGTGCGATTTTTCTTTGACTCTTGCTCGCACTTTTACTTTTTTTTTTTGCCTTTACTTTAGCTCTGGTTCCTGTAATTTTCGTGCGTTTGTTCAGCCGTGATTTATGCACACTGATGACGTAGCAGAAAGAGCTGAAAATCCGTGGCCCAAGTCCCAAAGTCATTTGGGCCCTGCTTATCGGGTCCTAATGAAGTTTAACCCCTTGGGAGGGCGAGACCGAGACTCAAAGAATTTCGCTTTATCTATCAAATAATACTTTTATTGCATTATCGGGATATGGGGGTGTATAAGGGTGGCACATAAATATTCATGGGATGCTTATATACATAGTTGGGTCTGCGTCGGCCCTCGGCCCTCGGATAGAAATCCACAAATCGAGTAAGCAATTTTGGGGCATGAATTGGAATTTTTGGCAACGGAATGGAATTTCACTATCCTGCAGCTCTCGGCACTTAATGGGTTAATCGATTAGGCCTCCCTCTCGGTTGGGTTTTTCGGGGATTTTGCGGGTCGCCTACTTGGTCACGCGATTCGAGGCGCTGGCGTGGCGCTCCGCCTCAAAGAAGTTGCCCATCGTTTGGAGGAGGTTCTTCTTGCCCTTCGGATCCGATCCCAAAGCCCGCTCGTAGTAATTTTTCTTGGGCGTGGCAGCCTCCTTGGTCTTGTGCCGACTACTAATGCACTCCTCTTCTTGGGCGGGAACGGGTGTGGGAGTGGGCGTGACCACCTGTGTGCGCCACTCGAAGACGGGCGGACTGCTGGCTCCACCTGGCGGCAACTGCAGCTGAATTGTGGCCCTGCTCACAAAGAGCTCCTCCTGGGCGAAATTTTGGACTACTGCGGCTGCCATCTGAATGGATCGGTTCCCATTTGCAAACTGATTGCGAATTCGGACTGCGAGTGGCGACAGCCGCAGAGCATTCTGATGTGGCTTTGTTCTCTGGTTACGACTTCGGTTGCTCCGTAAACAACGCGTCTCGGTCGCATGACGCATATCACCTAGTGGTGAGTGGGCTCGAGTGCCGCCTGGAGATGGGGGCGTGAGAATCCAGCCCCTAGAACTGGGGAGAAATATGATATGAATAGGAATGAATATGTCGCCAGTATCCACTTTAATCCAAAATCTAATCTCTATTAACGTATGAGTAAGTGGCTTATCTACTTGTTCATTTCTCTCCTAATTTCTTATCTTATAAACAAACTTGAGTGATATCATCTTAAGGAATCTCTAAATGACGCTAAAACAAAATAGAATAATTTCTAACAGCCTTTCCATATTACTCGTAGAGTAAAAGGGTATATTAGATTCGTGCAAAAGTATGTACCAGGTAGAAGGAAGCGTTTCCGACCCTATAAACTATATATATTCTTGATCAGGATCACTAGCCGAGTCGATCTAGCCATGTCCGTCTGTCCGTCTGTCCGTCTGTCTGTCCGTCTGTCTGTCTGTATGAACGCTGAGATCTCGGAAACTATAAAAGCTAGAAGATTGACATTTTGCATGCAGATTCTAGGAGTTCCTACGCAGCGCAAGTTTGTTTCAAAAGGGTGCCACGCCCCCTCTAACGCCCACAATCACTTATATACGATTTTAAAAATTTCAATATTTCGGAAAAGTAAAAATGCAGTTCTATTGTGTTTATGAATACCTATCGAAATGTAGAAGAAAGTTTTTAAATCGGACCATTCGGTAAAAAGTTACGGCGGATCAAAGTTTTTATCTCCAACTCCTTCGCACTCCCTTTAGCTGAGTAACGGGTATCAGATAGTCGGGGCACCCGACTATAGCGTTCTCTCTTGTTATTAATTATATTCGATTTTCGGTCACGATACCATCACTATTTGAGCTCTGAAGATTTTTTGTGCTCACAGCGACTGCAATCGCTTAGTCAAATTGTTGTGCCATTTCAATCGCGGCACTCGGAACTGGTTTCCCCTCGCCCCTGACCAAGTATGTTATGTGGAGAGCAGGCAGCCAGCGAGGCAGACGCCCACATGGACATCAGCAATAGCAATCGCAATAAATAATCAGACACAATAAATAATAAATAAAATATTTAATAGTCATTATTTGCCTACCTTCGCCAAGTGAACCAATAACAATTTGATGACCAACACTGCTTCGAGGGGCTCGTGCAGGCACCATAGATGGAGTATTTGCTTCTAGATATCTTGATTCGATGGCGTAATCAGCATCTAGCAAAATATTGTCTTGCAATAATCGCAAAATGCCTTGAGAACTGAAACTTTCTTAAACGCTCTAAATTTCTTTATTTAAGTCCCATGAGCCATCTGAGATAACTTTTATTTATTGCTTGCTCATCATTCTTGTCAACGGCGGTCTATTTTAAGTACCATAATTCTAGAGCTTTATTAATTTTATAATTGTGATTCATAGTAAAGAGATAAAAGAAGTTAATGGTGTTTTCCTAGGATAACGACGATTCATTTATTTTATTTAATTTTTAAAAATGAAGAAAGCAAAAATGTATTCGTATTGAATCACTTTTAATTCATAGTTTTATGTGTACTTTTTTTTAAAGATAAAGGCTACTGAAAAGTGATTTAAATATAAATATGTAAAATAATAATTTATTATGACACATAATTTATCACTATGGACGGCAGTCCATGTAGTGACGAAGCGCACCAGGAGAGTGTGCGAAGGCGACTACTATATATACACGAAGAAATGAAAATCTGCTGTGATAGTCAGATCGTAATGAGTAATACACCAATCGAAAGGTATTGCAAAAACTTAAAGGATTGCATACCAAGACTTTAAGAAAATCAATTGGATTGGGAGAGAGAGCGGTGAAAGTGAAAAAGTAAAAATTTAGAAATTTGGAGCTGTTGGGGCCGGTGGGGATAAATGCCCCCTCGCAATGATTTACTTGTATTCCTTTTGAAAATACCCGTCGAATGAGGGGTCATTTGTCAAAATCCGACGCTCCGTTCAAAAGTTATAGCCAAAATAAGATTTTCTTCTTCTTCCCAAAATGAAAATTTAATTCTGTTTGTCAGTTTGTCCACTTGTCCACTTGTCCACTTGTCCACTTGTCCACTTGTCCAAAACATGTTTTTTAAGTTCTGAAAATTTGATATGACGTTCATCACATCGATATAAAAAACTTTTGTTCTACCACTTTTGGAAAAACTCGCTAGTTTAGCGGGAAAACAGCTATAAATAGCTAAAATTCGGAAAGCCGTAACTTCTATACTACTAAAGCTACAGACTTGTGCTGCATCTCGTTTGAAAGGTATTTTGAAATGCTATAAACGCCTTCTATATGCAATTTGTGTAAATGTAATAGTTAAAGATATATGAACAAAAGACAATTTTTTAAAACTTTTTTTTAGCTTTTTTTATTTTTCTCAAAAACGGCTCTAACGATTTTCTTTAAAACCTTAAACTGTATAGCCCTTGAGATTCCTTAAATTTTGGTATATAACACATTACTGTAAAAAGTCACGTTTAATAGTTATTTTTATACGAAAATAGCCACTGTTGCCAGCTCGAACAATTAACGCTCCCTGAGTATTGAATTTTGTGGGAGGGTATCCGAACTGTATTTTAGGGTCATGGAATCAGTAAATTTGAACTTAAGAGTTCCATATAGGAATCTTTTGTTCTACGACTTTTGGAAAAAGCCGCTACTTTGTAAGTTCTACACTACTAAAGGTACCGACATGTGCTATACATCGTTTAAAAGGTATTTTTAAATACTTAAACGCCTTTTTAACTTAATTTGTTTAAATACAATTGCTTAAAAATTATGATTGATCAATTTAAATTTAAATGTATGTATATATTAGCTCCTATGAGAGCAAAAGTAAACAAACAAAAACTTCTGATATCAAATAAAAACACCTCTTAACGAGGTAAAAAACTAGTGACGACCGCACCTTCAACATACAAAAGTTCTGATATCAACATTTGTGACGAAAAATTATTACACTCGTCATTAAATAGACTTTCTAATATTTTCTCATTCGGCACGCTGCAATAGAAAATGCCTGTGAAGGGAAAAAGGTTGGAATAGTTTGCTAGGGCGGGCCGAATGAGAAAATATTAGTAAGTCTATTTAATGACGAGTGTAATAATTTTTCGTCACAAATGTTGATATCAGAACTTTTGTATGTTGAAGGTGCGGTCGTCACTAGTTTTTTACCTCGTTAAGAGGTGTTTTTATTTGATAATTATTATTGCTACGGAAAGATCATATATTTTTATTCAATTGATAACGATTTTTTATGGCAATATAAAATGTTTAAATGACATTTTACAATCTCTTTAGCAGTTAAGATTAAATGTATCACAATTGTATAAATCTCACCAAGAAGATATCGAATTTCCGAATATGTCACGTATCTGAAATTGTTTTAGGTTATCTTTTGGTTTAATTACGCATACAATCAGTTTGGTAACTTATTCAATGACACGTATCTATTGTTGAAATTTTTAAATATATATGTTTGTCATTTGTAAATCAATTTTATACCGTCTTCAGTTGCTCTCAATAACTTTCGCAGTGGTTCAAGCCCATTGACCAACTCATAACTGCATGAGTAACCCATCAGAAAGTCTGCTCATTTATATGTTTCGAGGGCCGATGGTCCAGTTTTGATATGCAGAGCACCCGCTTTAAAACAAGTGTTAACGGTGAGCTACTGCCACCCAAACCTCCCAAAAGGGTGTGCAAATGGGTTCAAATTCAATCAGCTTCGAGAGACATCGGCTCAGTCGTCGTCACTCATTAAGCATTTGCCCAGTGATTCATAAGAATCATTCATTTGTGGCTCACGCTCGATGTCAAAACGCCCACCGCCCCCTCCCACCCCTTTGGAAAGTGGGTGGGTCGAGTGGGTGTGGTGCGGTGGGGTCCGTTAACTGCATGCAAATTGGCAGGGAGTCCGTCTGTCTAAAAACCGGTTATAGAGCAAATTTCTTTGCTGTCCGTCTATCGTCTCGAATTGAAAACAAAGTGAGTCAATCTATTTCAGAGGCGTAGGAAATAGGGTTCTCTTGAGTCCCTAAAATAAAATTCCAAAAAATGATTTTTTAAATGATTAGAAAGAAATTAAATCCTTTTTAAAAGAACATGCTAACACCTAATATTTGCAAAAGGCTAATATTTAAAAATGTACAATTTTATATTGGTTATGCCTTCATGGCATTAGTACACTTTCCCTTATCATAACCTTGGATTTTCTGAGAGGAAAAATAAAAACTTAAAAATAAACAAAGTTAGATTCAAGATTAAAAGTTCCAAGATGATTTATGCGGGCTTTGTGGCTGGCACACAAAGAAATCGAAGCTGACTTATTAGAACTGTGTGAATGACATGAATCAGTGGAGTGGAGCTGCGAACTCAGACCCACAAGCGATTAAAGTCGCGTTAATTATTTGCTTGGCACACGCGCCGAAATGATTGCTCACAGTGCAAATGATTGTTAAACATTTACATTGCAAACATTTACCATCATCAACAACATTATCAACCTAGTCAGCAAGTCAGCGACTTGGACTGCCGACTGCCGAAGTCGGCACATCGAATAAGTGCAATTTGTTAATTGTTGCAAAACGCGCTGCATAATTTACAAAATAATTGCCATGAAAATCGCACACCAAAGGCGCCGCATGCGACAAGGGAGTTTTGCCAGCGATTTCCAAAAGGTCGAGCCACTTAATTGAGGATGTGAGGATGTCTAATTGGGGATGGATCGAACGAATCGCAGATAGAGATGTGTACTGTATGTGGAGACAGGTAGCAATCGAAAAGGTCAGAATGGCAGACGTTTAAATGACAAATTTGTCATTCCTGTGCAGTTAATAATAATGAGCCAATCGTGTAGAAAATACAAATTAATTTGATTTTAAAACTCGAAGCCTCCTTTTTATGGAACTATTTCCATAAAAAGGTCAACTGTAAAAATCAACACCAGAGGAAATATTTTTTATGGCCCATCCTATACTTAAGGATTCCCTCGAAATTCGTTTAATTGTCTTTACTAAATAATGCATTTATGAACAGTTCTGAAAAAGTTGGTTTTCAATTGCGAATTTATTTTTCCTGGAATTGGACAGTAATTATGTTTTTTCTCGGAATGGCACACGATTCTTTTTATATTATGAAAACGACACAGAAAGTTTTAATCACTTCAGGGAAATATGTTTCATTGTTTCTTTTTTTCTGTTCCATATTAAAAAGAACCATTGCACGCGTAATTGATAAAATATTATTAATAGCTTTTCTGTGGAACGAAAAAGGGCATACGCTTTAAAGCTTGCATTTTAAAGAAATAAATATTTACTTGTTGCGACCTAATTTATCTAAAAATTTTAAAGTTATCTTATAAATATAAATATCGAACAATTTACAGTAAAAAACTGGTCAGAACTAGGAAAATAATAAAGGAAGGTCTTTTTTTGTGGGAAAAATAAATAACTAATTTCATGTACTATTTTCGTATCTTTATTTCCTTCTCTCTCTTTTTAAATAATACCAGTTTTAAGCCATATAAAGCCTAACCTATTTTTATACACTTACTTTTTGCAGACACGCACAACGATAACTCGACCACCACGAAAACGCCACTATTCCCGAAAGACCTTTTCACGAAAGAACAGCTTGAGAACGGCGCTGTCATCCTGCACATCATTGGGGTGATATATATGTTTGTGGCGCTGGCAATTGTCTGTGATGAATTCTTCGTGCCTTCCCTTGACGTAATCATTGAAAAGCTCGGCATCACGGACGATGTGGCCGGCGCTACGTTTATGGCGGCGGGTGGCAGTGCCCCCGAGCTCTTCACCAGTGTGATTGGCGTTTTCGTGTCGTTCGACGACGTGGGCATTGGTACGATCGTTGGCTCCGCCGTGTTCAACATACTGTTCGTGATCGGCATGTGCGCCCTCTTCTCGAAGACGGTCCTGTCGCTCACCTGGTGGCCTTTGTTCCGCGACTGCTCCTTCTACAGCATCAGCCTGCTGGTGCTGATCTACTTCTTCCGGGACAACCGCATCTTCTGGTGGGAGGCCCTCATCCTGTTCACCATCTACATCGCCTACGTGGCCTTCATGAAGTGGAACGTCCAGGTGGAGACGTGCGTCAAGAAGATGATTACCAAAAACAAGGTGACTCGCGTCAGAAGTACAGATCAACTTATGCCAGCAGTAAGTAGTTGGGAAGTTTTTTTGCAACAAATCAATTCAGATCAAATCAATCAAATCAAATCAAATCAATCCAAAAATTCCAAACAAAATCTCTCTCTCTCTATCTCGAAAAATTCTTAATTGAAAACGAAAACAACTGAAAAAAAGAGAAAACTAAAGTAATTTAAATCGAAAATAAAAGAAGAAACAAAAAAACCATTACAAAAAACGTTAATCAAGAAGATCGTAAAAGAGAAAGCGAAATTGAAAGCCAAAATTTTGTGTGCCAAATGAAAAAGAAAAGAATCAAAGTTAAAACGAAAACAAAGATCCTTTGCCAGGAACGAAATTTCGTTTTTGATTTTCGTTTTGTGTATGTTTTTCCCACCTATTAATCCGCCTTTAATCCCATCTCCATCTCCACCTCCATAACCATATCCATCTCCACATCCCCAAGCTCCATCTCAATCTCAGTCTCACGCGAGCATTTGGCGCGTGCCGGACTTTAACCAGTTAGCAGGTGTTAAATCGTTATGACTAAGGGCCATTGTGGTTGCAATCATCGAAGAAACGCCTGTGACTAAGATGCTCTTTGGCATTGAACGCCACAACATTAATCTGGCGACAGTCACTCAAAGATCCACTCAAATTTCACCTGCGTTTCGAAAACAGGTCCAGGAAATGCTAAGAGCAGTGCGATCTCCATTCATCGCCTTGACCTACTATGAGTTTCATTACAGATCGAAATCGAACTGCTCATCTATATGGCATTTCTAGACCCATCTTCGGGGTTTATTCCACCCAAAACCGGTTTTTCGTTCCAACCGGGAGTGTCTAATTAAAAATACCTATTGAAAAGCTAAGACTAAACCGGTTGGGGGTTAAGTTTTGCAATTGAGCAATTTAGATCCTCCAGTATAAATTGTAAACTGAGATCACGTATTGAAAATAAATTTCGATTCTACCGGTTTCTGGAAGAATCATGAAGGAACTCGACTATTAGATACTCCTTATTCACTGCTGTTGTGAAATATGTTGCCTACGTAAAAAGCGTTAGCGTGGGTTTTAAATAAAAACGGAGACCTCAGTGTTAATAATATTTCGAATATTTAAGATATTGAAAAGACCTTGCTAACTGGTTATTCCCGGCTGCGTTGCACCTCCGAGTTTCTCTAACTTTTATCATTATTCTTATTATTATACTATTCTTTCATGCTATCGAAGTAATCTTAATTCTACTCACTAGTTAAACTTCTAATTTCTTCTTTAGTACTTAGCTTCGATTCCATATGCTAGTCAACCGTTTGATTTGCTATGCGTCTTTCGACTTGTGTAACTCCACACCCACACCCACTGAACACGCCCACCCACTCACAGACACCCACAGACACTAATACACGGGCATACACTCCTGACACGATCCGAAGAGAACTCTGCATGCTAGAGACTCCCAGAAAGAAACCTTGCACACACTGCTTGAACTTGATCTTGTTGTTGATCTTGATCTTCAGTCGGGACTCGAACCCGCTGCATGCTGCGCGTGTGTGAGAGAGACGGAATGAGTGTGGAAGAAGAACGAGATCTGTGCGCATGCGTATAACAGTTGTATTAGTACATGCTTCCTGCTCTATATAACACATCTCATGCGCCCACCTTATCATCCTTTTTCTCAGGTGAATGTCTCAAAGTCTTTAAATCTTAAAAAAAATATATTATTAAAGATACAAATATAAAGTATACACATTTTTATTCATTTTGGCTTGGATATGTATAGAGTTAACAAAAGCTGTATTACGCGTCTTTATTGATATGGAATATTTATTATTCTTGAAGCAGTATCTAAACAATTGGTCTGGTATTGATACATTTCATAATGTATGTTGTTGTGTCATCTTTTATTCACCTTTCGTTCATTCTTGATGTGAATGCTAGCCAGATCGCATTTGGATCTCATGGACTGGATTGATACAAAGTCAGCCCTCTCTTCAAATCCGATCCTTGGCGATCTTCTCCTTTTTCTAGAGTCGATATTCTTTCTTGAATTTGTCTTTCTTATCCACTTCCTGCCGTATCTCGCCTCCAGTTCCTTATTTCTCTTATCGAGTTCATGCGACATATGAATGTGCCAGAGATTTAGTGACGTGTAAATAAATATGAAGATGCGATAAAAGAGAACATAGCCCAGCAGCAGGCAGATGGCAAACCAGCCGTATCGGAAAATCGAATCCAAGACATTTCCGCCGTCCCATTTTAAAAATTGATCAGCACTGAAGGAATAAATGATCGGCGCGAGCAGCATAAAGTATAACAAAAACGAGATTAGTTCAACAATCCTTTTCTCAAACATGTTGTCTCGATGCGATGCGTAGGAAGTTTGGAAAACAAATGACTTTCGAGCCCTAAAATGATCATATTTCAGCACCAACCGCAACAAAATTCTGTGGTTTCGCGTCTTATCTCAGATTAACTAGAGCGCATTTAGTAGCCAGTCCATCCGGATATTCCTATATGATTCGACGAATTTAAGGGTGACGTTCTAAAATTATTCGTTAAAAAAACTTCCGAACTGAGATATTGAGGTTTACTATTATCATTTATATTTTTGGTCAACAGCGAATATTTTGAATTAATCATTTTAGGCTGAGCTCAGAACTTTGGAAGTGACAATTTAATGACCTCAGATGAGATTTTTCGGTAGAGGGGCACTTTCTTTCATATGAGGCGGCGGTGGTGCACGTCTCAAGCTAGTATATTGACTAGAGTGGACCTGCGCATGAATCATTCTGGGTAGGGTGACACTTTCCACAGACTTCTTTTCGTGTTTGATGTGAATACGAGCCATATCCCTTTCGATGGCAAGTGGGTTGATGATGGTCCTTTTCATATTCCGAGTCACCCGATTACTCCTCAGTTCACCAGATTCCAAGGCTTTTGGCCTTTCTTTGAATGCGCTCTTGTTGTACGACTTCTTTGCAAAAAAAGCCTCCGGATCTTTTTTGGCCTCCTTCACTTTCTTCCACATTCTTATGTCAAAGACTTTGAGCTTCATGTAACTGAACATAATTATGCGGTAATAAATAACGTAGCCAATCATTGCACATAGTAAGAAGGTGCAGTTTTCGTATAGCGTTCCCAGTAAATCATCGGTTTCGATTTTCCTCACTATTTCCTTTTTCTTGCAATATTTATACGTCAACGGAGTGACGATAAAGCAGTACACGAGCAAAGTGATCACCTCGATAATTCTTTTCTGAAACATTTACAGCTCGTTAGAGTTTTATTTCGCGAACTCCCAAAAAACACTTGTGATCCAGCTTCAGACAAATTTAAACTGGCGGTTCGCTAAAACCAAACTGATACTCATGCCCTCGGCTTCCCTTTAGTTTCCAGTGAAATATGAATCCAATTCATTGCGATAATACCGTAATCAGTCAGAATGGGACTTAATCATCCATTGTTGCCAGGCAATCTTATAGAGTACCAAGCTTACTTATTGTATTCTAGTTTCTCCCAAAGAAATAATTAGTAAAGTTTAACAAGAGATGTATTTAATGTTTTACTTTTTAATACAATTACGATAAGTAGGTACGCAGATAACAAAAGTTGCCTTAAACCTAAAAACGATTCAGTTTCTATTATTGATGCATACTGTATTATTTTAATTTGATCTCAGAATTCCGCAAAACCTAAAACTAAAATTGGTGGTCGTTATTATGAGACGACTTTTAGGCGCTACACCATTTAAGGTCTCTGCAACAGAATTTTAGTAGACATGATCCCATTCTTCCTGTGTTTATAAGGAAAGTAAGCCACAACTTTTGCCTGGGCAAACTTATAGAAGCCAGTTTCAAAAATATTTTGAAATTTCGCCAAGCTTTCTAATTCCCGTATCTCCCAAAGAAATATACAGTTTAGTTTTACAAAAGATGCATTTGATTTATTTCTTTTTAATTAACTCACGCATACTATGCATGTGATTTACGATAAGTAGGTACACAGATAACAAAAGCTGCCTTATGACTAGTAATAAATATATATTCACTAACTACAGAATTAATTTAGCTCGTGCGAACGAGTACACTGGAATGTGGTGATTGACTAATTTCGTGTTCGATTCGGCTTCGAATATCGATCTTTGGGCAGTAGCTAATACTTGTTGCGGACTTGGTCCTCCTAAGTTGAGCTCAGAATTTCACAGAAACTAAAACCAAAATCGTTGGTCTGTTGGTTTTTATGAGCCGACTTTTGGGCACTATTCACTTCCGTCTACACCTGTTGAGGTCTGGGCATCAGAACCTTGGGAGACATAATCACGCCCTTGCTGTGTTGATTCGGCAGGGTGGCACTTTTCTGCATTTGCGGCACAGGTGGTGCACATCTCAGGCTGGGCACTGGGCTAGGGTGGACCTGTGCCTGCTGCAGCCTGGGTAGGGTGGCACTTTCGAGCGGTCGCGTTTCGTGCTTGATGTGAATGCGAGCCAAATCGCTTTCGATGAGCAGCGGATTGCTGATGGTCCTTATCATCTTCGGAGTCGCTGGCCTACTCTTCTTCTTGCCCGAGTCCACCACATCGAGGTTCTCGGTGGAGACGGGCTGGTAGTAGGACTTCTTGTCCAAATTCGCCTCGGGATCCACCTTGGCCTTTTGCAGTTCGTCCCACATCCGAATGTCGCAGACTTTGAGCTTCATGTAGATGAATATGATGATACGATAGAAGGCGACGTATCCAATCATTAGGCAAAGGGCCAGGGTGCAGTGGTCGCCCACTGTGCCCACGAGGGTGTCGAAGCTCATCCTGACTATTTTATTTTCCGTGCAGTATTTGTAGGTGGTCGGGGTGATGATCACCCAATACACGAGAACCGTGATCAACTCGATTATCCTTTTTTGAAACATTGCGGCTATTGGGTGCGATCCCGATTCCCGATTCGCGCTTCGATGCGGTTTGGTTAAAGCTTCGTATCTGACTAAGTGACGACGTGCGCCTCATCGAGCTATATATAAACGTTCGTATTACAGCGCCGACCGCAATCGAACCGTCAGGTTCCGAAGCCAAGCTCAAACTTACGGCTCTTCGGCTTCCAACTGAGTGCATCGAGGGGCTCTGAGCCGGTTATCAGTCGGCTATAGCTTTATCATTCGCTGTTTACCAAGCCACTTATGGAGCGTAAACAAATCGTCACTACGTCACTAAGTGGATCCCAGGAATATTTGCGCCATTTCTTGGAACTGGCTTTGGGGGCCACCCTGCTGGCAGGTTGCCATCTCTTCCGATTCCGAGATATTGACTCGTTACCAATTACATTATAGTTCGAAAAACAGGTTGAGTGACAATCTGAGCTTTTGTTTGTTTTGCGGATTTGCATCTCTTAGATCATTAGGTAAACCACTCAGGTCGACAGGCGAAATTTCGAGTTCGAGCTGCTTGATCTTGAGTTTTTTTTGAATTACTGTGTGTGATTCATGCTGAACTTAAATAATTCATTATGTGATTTAAGCGCTTTGGTAAGGTAAATTGCGCCTTGGCGTCTTTGTCTCCGAACGGTGATGAATTTTCGATATTATAAAATACTTTCGGCATGATTTCATACACGACTGCAGGCTGCAGCTAATATAGATAGTCTGCCATTAATTGTGGCTAATTGCAGTGTCTAAATCAATCAGGCCGATCTGACAGCCCGCAGTTTGTAACAGGTTCAAGGTGAATAAACCCCCGGATGCTAAAAAGAGAGAGATTTCTTTCTCTGTGGTTGGTGTAGAAACCTTTTCAGAAATTCCCTACGTGCGGCATCAGATTTCGCAGGTGTCTGCGGGCTTTGCGTCAGGTGAATGAGTGAGTGCGATTAGTTCGAACCGTGAATGAGTGTGATTGGATCAGAAAACCCAGACCATTAGCTAGAGGCTGGTTTGGCCGATCGACAACATGACTGGGCATTAATTTGCATTATAATCAGGCACAGTGGTGGGGTAGTTCACCTGGGCACGAGCCACTTGTAAAGAGGTCTGAACTTGACTTGCCCTACACCTGCTTCAGTTTAAAAGATTCCAGTTCAGTCCGACTTATGAATGGGAGTTACGAAAGACTCGTTCTCCGATCGGACTCATTTACACCCCTATATAGTATATAGTATAACCAGGCCAATTATCATATCGTTTCGTTTCCATTCATTCATTAGAGTCCCCATTAGTCACCTGCCTCCCTCCACATACAGTACACACGTTTTAGATATATTCGTAGCCGTACGGTTAGTGCTTGCGTTGCATTAGTTAATCCCACCGATTCCGAATCCGAATCCGAGTCCAAACCATTCATCTGCCTGCGCTTCCTTCGCTATAATATGCCAACAATTAATTCGCATCGATTGAAAGTATTTTTCGGTTTCAGTTCTCCGACAAAGTTTTTCCAAATGTTTTTGTGTTTTATCTGTTTCTTTTTGATTATAGTGAAGGCAAAATGAAATACAACAAAACTTCCCACTGCGCTTTGACAAATATCAATACAGATATAAAAAAAAATACAACAATATGTGTACATTTTCTTTTAACAAAGCAACTAAAAAAAAAAATAATAAGAAAACCAAAAAGAAAGTCTTATGATGCTTGTATGTATAAAAAACCAACCAACCTGTTGCAACAGACAAACAGAAAAAAAATTTCCAACGACCAAAAACGAAAAGTGTTCATCTATACGTATTTTGTTTCCTCATCTTCGAACTTATCATTTTGATTTTGTAATATATACGACTCATGTGTTTCACCTCCGTAAAGAGCCCAAGTCTTTTGAGGTCTCGAAAAGATACTTCCAAGATCGATCCTTAGCACCTACTTTCCTTCTGTAAATAATGAAAGTGTTAACCGCACCGATCGAGATGTTTATTTTGTTGCACAAAAACCTTCAGAAACTCTATATTTTGTACTTTTCAACATCCACTTTTGACAGAATGTCAGAAAGCCAATCGAATCTAAGATCCAGACTGTCGATCTCTCTGAAATGTAACCCTCAGACTGTACTATATTCCATAGATCAGCTGCACAGTTTGATCGCAAGTGGTCCGTATATCGTATATAACGTATTTTGTTGGATGTTGTGGTAATCAATTGTTTTCATTTACTTACGATTTTCCTTTTCGACATTCGTTAAGTTCCTTATCGGTTATAGGTTATCTTTATCGTTTGATGTTTCCTGAGTTCTGTTCAGATATTGGCTCCCAACTAACTTGCACTTACCGATTCGATTAGTTCTTAAGTCACACAAACAACTACAACTACAACAACACCAAAGCCAACACCACCAACAACAAGAACAAGTACAACAACAGCTACAGAAACATGCGACAAAAGAAAAAAAATACAAAAAGCTACACTCAACTGTAAATTTATACAAATTGCAATAATAAACTTTTCTTCTTCTTCTTTTCACCTTTTTCTCGAAATATGCTTACCATAACAAAAAAAAAACCAAAAATAATTAAACATTACACCGCTCTCTGAAAAAATACCACAACTCGAAAAACTCAACCGAATCGAAAAAAAAAACAAACCCAATCGAAACCCGTAATCCGAAACCGTAACCGTAACTGACCGTTACCCGATTAAACCCGATACCGATACCGATACCGTAACCGCAAAACCCACGCCACCCACCGTTCTCTCCGTTCCTTCACTGCAGGGTAATGCGGCCAACTCCTCCGAAACATCGATGGCCACCCAGCCGGGCGGCTCGGTAACATCGCGGGCGGCGAGCGAAACCCGCTCGGGTCCGCCCGGATCGAGCCATGCGGGCGCCACAGGTAATAGCAGCGGCGGGGGCGGCACCTCGGGTAGTACTCAGACCGGTGCCAAGTTCCGCCACGGCCTGTTACAGCTAATGATACACACGATAGATCCACTACACGATGGTAAGTTCGTTGAGTTGCCACAGTGTGTTTTGCACAAGTCAAGCCAAAAGCCAAAAATGCAAAAAAAGAAAAAATGAAAGCTACTAAAAGTCCCCATAACGAAGTCCCCAGTTACCCGGCTAACCATTAACTTCCCAGTGCTCCTCGACCACAATCCCAGATCCAGTAAATCCAAAAGCCCCCGCGCTGATAAGCAAATTGTTTAAATCAATAACACTATGCAGCATCAAAAATAAACCTCGATGAATGCTATATTTTTGGATTCGTTACGAATTCCCAAGTTAAACAGCGTTTTCCAAAAAGTTCCCCGACGCAAGGATTCTTAGCAAAAGGACCTCAAAGTTCGAAAAATGCTGAAATTGACCAACTTTGCGGAGCTCTCAGAGGCAAATGGATGCATGGCTTGGTTCGAAGTTAAAGTTTTTTAAAAGATACACCCTTTATCTTTCAAACCCCATACATAAAATATTTTAGGATTTTTTTAAGGCAGAAATAAATTCCAAAAACATAGTCAAAAAGCTGAAAAACATACAGCTGCGGTCAAAATAGTAGCAGTGTTGCCGCCTTGTGTTTTTAAAGTTTGATGTTGTAATTTTTCTTATCCAATTAGTCTAATAGTAAAATTATAATCAATATAATATTACCAGGAAAAGATCAATTACAACAACAAACTTTTAAATACACAGGGCGGCAACACTACTACCATTTTGACCGCAGCTGTATACTTTTATGTTTTTTGAGTATGTTTTCTAGAATTTGTTTCTGCCTTAAAAAAAAATCTTAAAAATTTTTTAAGTATGGGGTTTAAAAGATAAAGGGTGTGTCTTTGAAAAAACTTTAACATCGAATCAAACCATGCATCCATTTGCCTCTGAGAGCTCCGCAAAGTTGGCCAATTTCAGCATTTTTCGAACTTTGAGGTCCTTTTGCTAAGAATCCTTGCGTCGGGGAACTTTTTGGAAAACGCAGTTTAACTTGGGAATTCGTAACGAATCCAAAAATATAGCATCCATCGAGGTAAATTTAAAAAGCACTAAAAATGCTGCACAGTGTAATTACTATATATTTTCATACAAAAAAGTAAATAAAATAATAATAATTTTGTAATTTAGTGATTGTAAACTGGTATACAAGGCGTATGAGTAACTTTTCTTTATATTCTTTTTAAAGTCATTCCTCAAAGCCTTTAAATAAATATAAAGCTAATGATTCAGTCAATTGCAACATATTCTTCCCATAAAGATTATCTTTCTTTAGGTATTAAATCAAAATAAGCAATAAATATTGACTTACGATTTGTTAATCAGCGCATTCCCCGTCCGCCACGCTTACATCCAAAATAAGATAAATACAAATGCAATAACATTCAACTCTACTCTATATACTATACTATATATACTACCTGTACCTGTACCTGTTATCTATATCTGTTCTAAAGTAAAATTGTTCTATTCAGTTTTGGTTTCTTCTTTTCGGTTTCCCAAAAATTCTGTGTAAATTCTGTGTTCCTTCTAATTGGATGTTTGACTTGCCAGCCAGAAGTTACTTTCGCTCATCCTTCCACTTCTGCTGCTCTCAGCCCAATTACTGTATCTCCATCTATATCTGTATCTGTATCTGTATCTATGTCTATGCTCCGATTTCCACTTCTACTTCCATTTCTCATTTGCGTTGCGTTGTTGCCTTTCAGTTCGCTTCGCTTCGGTTTGTTTTGTTTTGTTTTTCTTTCAATTTGGTTTTAGCTTTCGTTGGCTTTGGTTCACTTTTTTAATGGCGACCTTGGAGCCACTTACCTAATTAGCACGCCAGGCCCAGACGCTCCGTCGACTAGAATTAGAACCAAAAAAAAAGGGGAAAAAGAGCCAGCAGGCGCGATTGACAGCACTAACCCTTTTGCTTTTGGGTGCGGCAGGAAGAGGGAAAGGTCATCGCGATATTATTACTCCCACACCGGATAGATTCTGTAGTTGTGCAAAGTTTCCAATCAGATTGGCCCCACTTTCGAGCATTGATTTTGGTATGGATTGACTGTAGCTATAGCTACCCCTGCACCCATGAATATGTAGGAAAGACCTCAGTGTCGTTGCCACGGCAATGGCCCACAGAAAATTAAACGAATCGAAATGAGGCAGCTCAGGGGCGTGTTCGCCAAGGTTCGCAGGTGCGAAGTGTTAGAATTCGTGTAGCTCTAGCTCCAAGTGGGCCTACCTCAACTAGTTAGCAGTTCTATATGAAATTTACAGGGGTTGTAGAACCAAAGAAAAAATTCCAATTAAGTTTTAATTTTCTAATTGCCCAACAAAGAAGATTTATATTCGCAAATATACAGTGGAAAAACCAAAACGATCTATTAAATCATCAGGAATATATTATTTTGTCATTGTTAACTGACAGCAGAGCTTTCAATTCAAAAGTTCCCCATTTTGTTGAATTAGGTGATTCAGATTAATTCAAGTTAAAGCGGATCCCAATTAGAAACTTAGGTTACAAGGGTTTATTCCTTTGCCTTCAGTTGCTAATGCTACACAAATACGCTATTTAATGATTTACTTTCGGCTTTGTTTTTCATTTTGTTGCTAACAAGTAAAAACCAAAAAATATAACAATAAAACAAAAGGAAAAGCAGAAAAACAAACAAGAAAAAAAAGAAAACAAAATAACGAAAATATTTTATGTTGTTCAATGTCAGTTTGGAGTTACATTTATACCAATATATCAATATATATATATATATACATATGCGTTATATATCTAGCATAGAGAACTTATCATAAATTCCTAGAGTTTGTGCGCGCAGTTCAATGGCACACGTACTGTTCAAGTAAAAATAAAGATATTGCAAGATATAGATATTCCGCAGATCTTAATATATGCCATACCTCGAGTACCTATGCCATTGAATGCTGGATTGAGTTGAGTTTGACGCGTGACAAAAACAAAACAATTTATACTGTACATATATTAACTATGCGTTTTTAATGTTGTATGTGTTAAATGTAATCATTATCGTAATTGTAATTGAAATTGTAATTAGTTAGCAACTAGTACAATTGGCCCGCAGCAATGCGGTTCGAAATCGGCTTCGACTTAGACTTAGGGGCTCAGACTCAGACTCATGCTATACTATATAAAGTACACCCATCCACACTCCACACCCGAGTAGATAGAAAACTATTTAAACTATTAACGAGCTGCGACTGCATGTGCGACTAGTCGAGCTTGTTTCAGGTTGTTTTTGCATAGGTCGGATCGCTTTTTGTCACTGGAATGTTCGTCATATATTGCTTAAATGTGTGTTTCTTTCAACTCGTTATGCTCGTTGTATGGGAATTGTGTTTTTGGGCCTGAGCCAGTGGAAATCCGGCAGCGACGGGCGGAAATCATTTTCTATGATCTCCGATGGCAATGATCTCGATATATAATCGCTTCGATTGATTTCCAGCCTCTCTCTAAGAACAGCCAAGATCACAAGTCCCATCCCGAATTACATAGTCGTGCTTTTGCTCAGTTCTCTGTATGAGCATGTTCTTCACTAGGTCTGTATTAAAACCAAAGATAGTCGTATCGATATCGTTATGAGCCTCCCCTGTATAACCGCCCACCGCGACACAAACACACACTTGTGATCCATAGAAACGTAAGCTAAGCTTAGATGTAAGTCTATCGGAATCGTGTACATATATACACACATATGTATATGTATATACCTAGAGCAATGCTAGAAGGGGTCTTCCAAGTGTACCTACTTAGTCAGAGGATCCCCTGAGAAAATGTAAATTCAAAAGAGAACTTCACGCCGCATTGACAACAGAAAACCGAATCGAATCGAATTAAAACCCATCAGAAAACCCCGTCCGATCCCCAAGCATCATCAAAAAAAAAAAACAGATCGAAATCTCGAATATTTAACCAGCTCCTAGTGCAAAACACAAGTTCACACTCAATAGATACCGAATCGGATCGATTCAGAGACAAAAGTTAGACCAAAAACCCATGAGACTCTGACACGGTAAATATCAGTAGTGATCTCTAGACTAGAACTAGTTTACTTATAGTCCTAGCTGTAGTCCTAGTCAGCTTACGAACCCCTCCCCCTCAGCTGTCCGCTCTCCGCTCTCTGCTCCCCCCGCTCTCTCTCTTCCGCTCTACTCTTCTGTCATACCCCGTACTCTACTCTATATAGACTAGACCGTATCCCCATAGCTATAAACTATAATCTCTTAACTTACTCAAGCAACCTCCAAATGCTGTCTCGCAACTGACATCAACATTTTGTATAAAATATTTTCAATATACATATAGACATATATTTGCGTATATGAACGATCCAATCCAATCCCCTAAATGAGTAAATTTGATTGTAAATTAAAAGCTCTAAGAAAGAAACTAAATCTGAAAATGAAACTCGTAACTGGGTTAATTCGTTTATTTCTGATTTTAATCGATGCAATTTTATTCTTTCTTTTTCTTCTTTTTTTCTTTTGATTTTTCGCAAAAAAAAAAAAATACCAAACCAAAAAAAATGATCAAATAAAAATAAACACTTGGATTTTGCGTTCAAAAAAAAACTCAATTCGTTGTGTGCCAACAAAAAACCGAAAATCGAAATCGAATACCGAAAACCGAATACCGTAACCGCACAAACACAACAACAAATACTACAACGACAACACCGCTACTCGCCACACACCAACACAACCACCACCACCACACTCGTGTTTTGTGTACCAACAAACAATAAACAATAAACAAACAAACACTGCATTATTTATCGAAACACCCGCAAAAAAAAAACCACACACAATTACAATGACAAAGATGATGTTCCAGGCAAAGTGGACGAGAAGGCGACGCAGCTGCACGCCATTGCCTCGCTGAAGGTTTTGCTGGATGCCACCAAGCCGCAGCGCGGTGGTGCCACCACCTCGGCGGCCAACCACGTCAAGATCAACCTCAAGGAGACCACGCTCGCCGATCGTCCCAATGGGAATATCGACACCACCCTCGACTCGGTAAGTCCACCACTGACCACCTCCGTTTGTCCCCCTGTTGTAATCCGTACGATGTGCTAATTAATATATAAATTGCTCATGATTTTCCTTAGGCATGTCCTTTTTGTTTCGAATATCCATTGATTTGATTTCAGTTTTCGGTTCTTGTGCTTTCGTTACAAACTGATTGATTGTGTCACACACAATGCGCTGCATTCTTCATACAAGCAACAAACTAATTAAGTCAGGAATATCGTGAAAAAGGAAGAACTTTGAATTTTAAATATCAAGACGCGAAAAAATTAGAATTAATAGCCTTAATATCGAATATCGTACATGAATATCATAAAAGATAGAAAAATCACTTTGCGGAATATTATTATCGCTATTGATTGTCAGCTGAATATCGTATTTCGTAAATCGGATTGCGGAATATTATCGCTATTGATTGTCAGATGAATATCGTATTTCGTAAATCGGATATCCCCCAGTGCGATATTATTTCCCAGACAGGGTTTAGCGACCAGTTCAAGCGACCTACCAAAATATATACACACCATTTTCCAATTCTAGCTGTTGGCATGTTTCCTTTACATTGCTAATCGATTGATTGATTAAGCAACTGATTGGTTAACTGATTAATGCAACGTTTGAACTGATTCTAAACTGAACCATGGTGTGTTTTTAATCCCCACCTAAATATATGTTTTGATGTATACTCTTCCCTCATTCGTTTTTCATGTGTTTCCTTGTTCGTTTCCCACTGTTTTTGTCGGTTTAAAAAATGTGAAATGCCTGTAAATGAAATGTAGGCCCGCCCAGAGAAAAGAAAGCCAAAAAATACCAGAAAGATATGTCTGTGTGTTTATGCAACGTTTATGTGTGACTTATTATGGATTTTGATTTACTTCTTTGACTTAAACTAAACAACGATTTGTGTCCGAATTCTTTTCCATACAACTGTTCAACCCACCCACCGCCCACCCATCCCCGCCACACACAAATCTCTATCTCACACACACACACACCACACACACGCCTCAACTTTCCTCCTGTCTACCTTTCAACTTTCTTTCGATTTGTTTGTGTATGTTTATCTCCCTTACTTTCGGAGTATCTTCATGCCCCCATCTTTCCACCCTCCATCCATCTCTATCGAACTATCTATCTATCTATATCTCTGTGTGTGTTTTGTCTTGCCCCAGATTAAGAAGAGCTAATTCGGAATAGTGAAATTTTTGCATACTCGTATACCGTATGACCCATTTGGAACTCATTTGCTTTGTGTCTTTACCTGATTTCGTTACTCGTACCTAGCGTTGAGCATCCACAAAAAAACATCTACAGTATATACCCAACAAATAGCCGAGGAGAACCAAAGTCATTACAGCGCCTTGCATATTATAATTTCCATTCATATTTCACTAATGCGCGATGCAGTCATTCCAATGCAAAGTAGCTGCGCCCAAAAACCACCGATCACCGTTCACCACACCCACCCACACACAGCGTGTGTGCTCGTATATCGTACCTCGCCGCGTATCGTAATCGTTGGCATTTTGTTAACGCGAACATTTTTATGCATAGGCGCAAGCACTCGGCTTTGGCCCCCCATCAGCAATATCAGCAAAAGCAGCAGCCTTAGTAGCATTGCATTCCGGATGCTCATTGCGGGCCCAACATACCCTACCTCTTGCAGAAGGTTGCAAAGTTCCGTCATCCGTTCGAAATATCGTTTCATAGTCTGCCTTTAAATCTAGAGTTACTTGGTGAAACAGCAGAGCGACTTTATTCACAGTGTAATCCCAACTTAAAGCTATAATTTTCTCCGATGCAGCGGATTTTTTGTCTTAAGCTATTAATGACAATTCTACAAATCAATTAAAAATCTTAAGCAACCGCTGTATCGTTAGAACACTTTTACATTGCAGTTTAAATGCAATGAGCTTTTTGGGAAAGTCTGCATCGTGTAGACCGAGCTGATTCGCCGTGTAATCCAACTGAAAACTAAAGTTGTATTCGATGCAGCGGATTTTTTTGTCTTACGCCATTAATGACTATTAATGACCTATATAAAATTAAAAATCTTTAGCTACCGCTGCATCGTTTAGAACGTTTTTTCCTTATCTTTAAAGATTAATTCCAAAATATAGACCCATCTGCAAGGGTGTCTTAACTTCGGCTTGCCGTTAAGAATCTCGCTTCCTAGTTGGTTATTATTTACATTTTTTGTTTTCATTTATGCAAAGATCACAAAGCAAACAAACAAAATTCTGAGGTGCTGACTCGCCTCAATTACTGCGACCTCATTTGAATTCGACTCACAATTAGACGCAACATGGCTGGCCTCGATGGCCGCTTTAAACCGAATTTTCCGAGTTGGGCTTCTGTCTTAAAGAAAAAATAAAAGAAAATCCTTAAAAAAATATAACAGTTTAATCCACAACCAGCTAATTGTGTTTGTGTTTCCACTCTCTCCCGATCCGTATGTGTTTGTTATGTAAACCCCTACTTCCCACACTTCTTCTTAACATTGTGAACAGCCTTCTTTCCAAACTATCTATCTGTCTACCCCCTCAAAAGTCTTCTACTTTTCCCAACAGCCTAAGTTTTAACCAAAGTTTTATTTCCATAACTGATCTGATTCTGAGGACTTGGCCCTGAGATCCAAAACTTTATGTTTACAAATCACTATATATACTTATAAATGTGTACTCTTCTCCCAAAAATACTTGTCATATAAATTTATAATGTATCTTGAATAATCAACCTAAAGCCATCGTTGAGTGGTCGACGTCCTAGCTGGATTGAGCAGAGGGTCAAAATTCAGACACGCAAATTTAGCATCAAAGTTAGTTTCATGAACAATTTTTATTGATCTCTCTTTACCTATCTTTCTCTCTATATCTATCTATCTTCGCTCTTCTATATATTGCATACAATCTTTATAATTTCTTGCAACAAATATATCGTAAACGACGAAAATGTTTTATTTTTTGTCATATTTATTCAGTAACAAAGAAAATATCTGACAAATGCACGCGAGTCGTACACAAAAGCTCCTTGGCAGTGGCCTCATTAGAAACCTGGAAGATAAAGACAATATATTCAGAGCTGATAAAAATTAAATAATAAAAAAAATAGCAAAATGCCTTTGAAATTTTATTAGTTAAAAAAGTGTGGTTAGTCCGTCAATATGATATAAATACTGTGATCAATATTCAGCAGAGTATTGAATATCGTAAATGAAATCACTTCAGTTGAATGATGATTAATTACACTATGCAGCATCAAAAATTAACCTCGATGAATGCTATATTATTGGATTCGTTACGAATTCCCAAGTTAAACTGCGTTTTCCAAAGAGTTCCCCGACGCAAGGATTCTTAGCAAAAGGACCTCAAAGTTCGAAAAATGCTGAAATTTGCCAACTTTGCGGAGCTCTCAGAGGCAAATGGATGCATGGCTTGGTTCGAAGTTAAAGTTTTTTAAAAGATACACCCTTTATCTTTCAAACCCCATACATAAAATAATTTTAGGATTTTTTTAAGGCAGAAATAAATTCAAAAACATAGTCAAAAAACTGAAAAACATACAGCTGCGGTCAAAATAGTAGCAGTGTCGCCGCCTTGTGTTTTTAAAGTTTGATGTTGTAATTTTTCTTATCCAATTAGTCTAATAGTAAAATTATAATCAATACAATATTACCAGGAAAAGATCAATTACAACAACAAACTTTTAAATACACAGGGCGGCAACACTACTACCATTTTGACCGCAGCTGTATACTTTTATGTTTTTTGACTATGTTTTCTAGAATTTGTTTCTGCCTTAAAAAAAATCTTAAAAATTTTTTAAGTATGGGGTTTAAAAGATAAAGGGTGTATCTTTTAAAAAACTTTAACATCGAATCAAACCATCCATCCATTTGCCTCTGAGAGCTCCGCAAAGTTGGCCAATTTCAGCATTTTTCGAACTTTGAGGTCTTTTTGCTAAGAATCCTTGCGTCGGGGAACTTTTTGGAAAACGCAGTTTAACTTGGGAATTCGTAACGAATCCAAAAATATAGCATCCATCAAGGTAAATTTAAAAAGCACTAAAAATGCTGCACAGTGTTATAATTGCCCAGAACGCCAAGTCCAAAAACCGCAGCCCCGTCAATGACTAACCCATATCTTTGCGCTATTGAATGGTAAAAAAATAAAAAACACTTAAAATAGTTGGGAATCTTGAGTTACTAGCCAGGAGCGTGGAGTGTAGACCGCATTTAAATTTCCACCTAGTTGTTGCATTTGCAAAGCTTCTGAGAATTGTCACTAACTAACCCAAAAAAAACACACACACAATGTTGCTTCAGTGTAACGACCACGTATACTTCGAGTAGAATTTACCTTAGTGATATGAAAAATAGACTTAGACACCTCTTTTTAACCTGTTTTACTTTCTACTTTTGTTCACGATTGATCGACCTTGTAGACTGTGTCTGTGTGTTGTTGCACTTGCAAGTCTGACTTGAGCATGCCCACTGTACCAATGCACCACAATGTAGTACCACTGTACCTGCGATGCTGATCGAACTCTGCACGTTTTAAGTCTAACCATCTCAAGTCTGAGCACAAATCAGTATCGTATCGTAATTGTAGTCCTGCTAGAAAGTAAGTGCACCCCTTTTGAACTCGAACCACACTAAGTATCTTGATCGAACCGACACCGAATCCACTCAGATCCCGCCAAGCAAGCTCTAAACGCCTGTCTGCGAGCTCCCGCCAGTGAAATGAAACCCAACCCAAATTCAAACCAAAGCCATAACTAAACTAAGACTAATTGCAAACCCGCAAGCAGAGCAAAATTTGTACTATGACAAAAAAGCTATCCCGTAAACGTAACGACTCATGACCATCCTGTAAACATAGCTCAGAACGCATTCCACCTCAGAACCTCCGACCTCGAAATCGAAATATCAATCAACCACTGACACCATTATCCACACACCCACATTTTTACTATATATTTTATACAACAAATTCCGTATTACATATTCAATATTATATACCTCTATATATAAATATAAATATAAATACCCAAAAGCTACGGCTAAATACTAACAGACTTCAGTCGAGTTCGGTCCAAGTCCCTAATCGCCAATCTCTTCCATTGCCTTGACCAACAAAGGCGCCCGAAATCGAGGATGAGCCGGAACCCCTGAGCATGGCCTGGCCGGACACGGCGCGAAAGCGGCTCACCTACGTCCTGGTGGCCCCGCTCCTGGTGCCCATGTGGCTGACACTGCCCGACACGCGGACGCCCCGCGGCAAGCGCTTCTTTCCGGTCACCTTCATCGGCTCCATCGTGTGGATAGCGGCCTTCTCCTACCTGATGGTCTGGTGGGCCAACGTGGCCGGCGACACGGCGCGCATTCCGCCCGAGGTACACTCACCAAAGCAAATAGCTTGATTTATTAAGACTCCCTCCTGAAGTATAGTAGACTTCAATTAATAAAATATTCCAAAGGAATACCAAATTACTTTTTTTTTCTACAAATTGAAAACAGCAAAAAACATCAAGCCAACGATTTAAAAGATTTAGGCACGTTTTCACCTCATAATGTTAAAAACATAGGAAATTCATAGCTTTAAGCCTACTTAGCTAGAGGATAAACTTAGGCTTTAAACCTTCAAAACATAAGGGGATGGAATGGTTTCAAGCATACTTTAAATTTATAATGAAAATGAAACCGGCTTAAAAAAAATGTATTTTAATCTAAAAATGGTTAGTACATTTTATAGGCTATTTTTGAACAGTTGTATAAAAAATTATATAAATTTTTTGAATAGGGACTTCAATATTTAGGTAAAGAAAAACATAAAAGCAGATTTTTAAATAAGTTTTATGGAGAAAGTATTTGTACATTTTAATTTTTTTATAATGGAAAGTACGTTTAACAAAAGGACTTCTCTATAAATAGGGTTTATAAATCAGAGTTTCTGCCCTATAGGACAATTGTAGTGTACGAATAGTGCGCTTGTCTTGCTTTGGCCGCTGATTAACCCTTTATCCCGCTCTTTTTTCCCCCTAGGTCATGGGTCTGACCTTCCTGGCGGCGGGCACCTCCATTCCGGACTTGATTACCTCGGTGATAGTGGCACGCAAGGGATTCGGCGACATGGCCGTGTCCAGTTCCGTGGGCAGTAATATATTCGACGTGACCGTGGGGTGAGTAGTGATTGCGTCCTTTTTGGGCCGCATCCTAACCGGTTACCATTGATTACCATTACCTCTACTCCTCACTTGACAGCCTGCCGATCCCGTGGCTGCTGTATGGAATCATCTACGGGGCCCCTGTGGAGGTGAACTCGGTGGGCATGGTCTGCTCCATAACCATCCTGTTTATGATGCTTGTGTTCGTGGTGATGTCAATCGCCTGCTTCCGCTGGCGCATGAACAAGGGGTTGGGCTTCACCATGTTTCTGTTGTATTTTGCCTTTGTCGCCGTGTCGCTGATGTTCGAATACGACGTGATCACGTGCCCCTTCTAAGGGGCAGGGGCAAAGACAAAAGCGGTCAACACTTACCGAGTTCAAGCTACCGAGATCCCAAGGATGTCTACCAAGGACATGGATGTGGACAAGGATGTCTGGATGCCGCCGAGGACGAGACAGTCTCACGTCTCACACCCAATTAGCTAAATTATATACAAGCAAATTAATGAATGATTAACAAATTAATTAACAATGGACTAAAGCTAAATAATCGAATTGTTAAACAGACAAAAACACCGCCACACACAGACTCACTCCAGATACACTCCACAAAACCGAAACAAACATAATGAAAATAACGAAATCGAAAACTTAACGTTAACAAAATGCGAGTTAGTTAGTGCCAGCGTTTCTTTTTCGAAAGACATTTACTTTAAAGTGTTTAGCGCAGCTTTTTAACGCAAGCAGCCCCCTCCAGTCCCTAACTCTACGAATCTTTGCTCCCAACTATCGTATCTATGTATCTACGACCTAATACCAAACTAGCGAGAAGGAAACACACGACAATGGCTTCCCAACCACTTACTAACTATGTATCTACCTAACGTTTGGGTTTTAACTACAAGCATAAGAAAACCAGCAAAAGTATGTATCAACAAATATATATGATTATCTCGGCACAAGGCACCCTATATCCTATATACGGTACGTTACGATACGATACGATAAGATACAATACGATACGATAAAGGAAAGCAGCCTCCAAATTTTGTGTTGAGCTCTGTCGTTTCGTTTCGATCGATCGAGCAAAAAGCCTTTCATTTGCGTGCTCTACTAAGATTTCTCCTAAAAGCTTTATCCAGAGCCTATCTAAACTCTATCTAGTTTACGACTTATATACATAATACTTATATACCCACTCACACGCACACTTACATGGCATACTATATATTGACCTGTATTGATTAAGTGATAATTTGCGTACTTATTGAACAAGCAAACGAACAAATCGAAAAGATAAGAAAAGAACTCTCAAAGTAAGCTACAATTATACTCGAATTCCGAAACTAAATCGAAGCGAATGTAGGGCATACTCAAGATATTTTGCTAAAGAGCATCTGCCATACATCCAGTTCAGGGCATTATGATTATCACCGATTCCAGTCCGATGCTAATTCTAATTCTAGTTATGATTATGATTCTAGTTCTGATCCCGATTCTAGTCCTAATTCTAATTCTGATTCAAGTTGGCGTTTAGGAGGAGCAGAGTTTAAATTTAACTTTAAATTGAAGCCATATTTATTATAGACTACTTCGAATCCAAAACAAAAACTAAGCCTACAAAAAACCAAAAAAAAACAAAACCAACCAAAAAAAAAAAACAAAAAAACTAATTTCATATACTTTTTGCTTAATGAAGTCCCCCAAGTACATATATATGAGCATATTAACGTATTTATATATAAACGACATATAAGACGATATTTAACGAAATATGAAACAAAATCAACTTGCTCTCTTTATTTAGAAGGTACGTAACATTTTTCTAAACTAAAACCCTTAACTCGTAAAACCAAGTGGCCGCAAAACCGATGAAATGCAAATTGTATGGAGATGGAAACCCAAATAATTAAACATAAAACGCATACATATATACACCTAAATATAAACATACATATATATATATATATTTTATATATACCAGAAGATAACTTACTATATATATATGCAACTATACTTAAGTAGGCAATGTATCTAACGGATATCCAGACGTTTGCATATGGCTCGCAGTCAAGTTAAGGAAGCGACAGAACACAGATACAAATACCAGATACCAGATACAAGATACAATATACAAACACACACACGTACACACTCAGAACAGAAAGCAATAATTTTTATTACCAGTGAAATTAGAGAATTCAGCAGTGGCATCGCACTATATGCATACTCCTATATGTACGACATGCGAAAATCTCACTGTACATTGAGGCCAAGAAGTCAGCAGCTCAGCAGTGGTAACGCATCGGAAATAATTATATATGCATTCACAGTCGCAGCATTATATACTGTATCCACTGAACAATGCGATTAGATGTGCTGATGCAAATGCAGAATTAACGTAACTAAGTGGCCGCTCTTACACCCCATGGGTGCAGTGCATTCGATTGCACACAGATATTAATATACGAGTATATGAATAAATGATAATATAATATGAATATGCATGTAGGATATGGGCAGGTCAGAGGTCACGGCAGCAGAGAGCAGGAGCGAGAGGATTGTCAGGGAACACCGAGGTGGAGACGTTGTATAAAACTCGAACGAGGCTAACATCAGGTCATACCCTCTCCACACAGATGACACCACATCACTTCATTTGCCCTTGTACCAATCCAGCTAAGAGTTGGCTGAGAACCAGTCTACCACTTTCCCTATCAATTATATTGGGTTATCCTTAGAACTTTCTATAAATATCGCTTTAGGAAGACCAATATCGTAAACTGACTTTCCGTGTTTTCTATACTTTATTGTCTTATCTATAACCTTAAAACTATAAAGTTTCCTTAGTTTCTTGAAATCTTAAAAACTAATTTTTGCTTCTCTCTATATACTAATAATTAGCTCTAAACTTTATCTACTGCTCTTCTACCTTCTACCTTTCATCTCAGCCACTCCAAGCGTTTCTCAGTGTAGCTCCTAATTCCAAAAGTGTCGACTTTCGTCCTTCTGTATTGATATATACGCCCTTGTATCGTATGTATCCCAACTAGCAAGCTCACTTCTCACGAGTAGATTGCCTTGGTCGCCAGGCTTTAACAGAGACAACTTCCAAGAACAAACAACAAATTAACTTAAACTTTTATACATGCTGTATGTTAAACTAAAGACAACAATGGATACAAAAAAAAAAACTAAATCGAATAGAAAAAACCTAAAAAAATATCTTCCAAATTAACTTTAAAACCAAGTCATATTTATTATATAAAAATAAAATACTTCAGAAAGAAACACTCACACTTAACTACATCTTATTAGAACCTAATAACGAGAAAATGGAAAAGCACACCCAGCAATTACTTGTACTGAAGATTTCCCTCACTCACACCCACTCACATCTAATCTGTCATACATACATACATATCGCGCCCCAGTTTTCTGTCTAAAAAGGTACAAAACCTAGAATTTCCTAGAGAAAAGCCCAAATTTATTTCGAGGAGCTTCTTTCACTACCACGCCCTCAAGCAAATGGAAGGCTAATCAAACGATCCCCCTTTAAGAAAAACCCTCTCTATCCGATATTTTCCTTTCCATCCATCCGAAATCATTAACCTACAACGCACACACACCACACAAAATTGTCGAGTGCCGTAGAAGTCTCGCTTTAAAGCAACGTAAATAAGAGGAAATATATACAAGAAATATATATATACAGATATATATATATATGAAATTGTTATGGTTATAGATTTTTAACAAGTTGAATAATTGCGTAAAAAGTAAAAGTGAAACAAAAACACAAAAAAATTGTTGAAACATTAGCAAAAGCGTTCATAAAACATAAACGAAGCATAAGGAAGGAAATAATAATAAAGATAAAACGAAACCGAGCAAACCAAATCGAATCGAAAGATATAGTAATGCTATATATACTTTATGAAATATTTAACTATGAAAATAAAAATCATTGTTTGAAATTAAAGTGAAAAAAGTAAACTTACAAAAAAAAAACAAAAAAAAAACCAAAAGAATTTTGTGTTTGCTAATTTTGTGTCCTCAACCAAATTTTGAGTTTTGCAGAAAAATCAACCGTAAGTATACCCAATTGATTCTTATGTTTTCTAAACGTAATTGGCATGATTAGATATTCAATGTTCGATGTTTTCAAATAAAATTAGCAAACACAAGCACAGACCATTCGGAAGCATTTCTAGAGATCTGATCTGGCCCAATACTAATCACGCTCTCAAGTCAATCACCTATAACAATCGTCTTGATCAAGAAATACCGATATACCACATAACGTTTACGAGTAAAAACGAACGAGCACATAATCATTAATTTCAGCTTTAAATAATCTACGAACTAGACCTAAACCGTACATATATGGAACACTCGGATATTTATTAACTTTTATAAACCAGTATATGTACCATATACCGTATAGCATATAGCGAATAGCGTGTCTGGGGCGATCGCACGCTCCAAGTGGATTACTTTTTTAATACTTAATACGATTACGAATACAAATAGAACACGTGAAATGCAATGTATGCAATACTTATATTCGATTATATTTACAATATTTAGAGAGCGTTTCAAGTTGCGTCCGTTGTTTAGACAGAGAAACACAGCAAACAATAAATTGTCAGTCAGTTGCAAGCGGCTTCGATTTGATTTCGATTATTTCGATTTTCGTTCGATGTGAGGAAACCAAACGATTACCGATTAACGATTTAACGACAATGCGTATATGAAGCAAATATGATATATGAAATCCAGTAAAAAGTAATAGTTAACATATTGGTAGACTAATTTAAAGATTTTATAGCGTTTTCAAATTTATAAGTGTATAAACCGGATGCGTTTATTATTTGTAATGCCAGCGATCAGCCGATCGACATCGGATGTCAGCAGATATAGCGCGTGAACATATAGCCGTCGTGTGTAATACAGTTATCATTACCCACCAAAATGTATGTATATTTTCCGTTGTTCAGTTTCGATCGTTGTACTTTTGAATTTTACCTTAGGAGTGTGTATTTTTTCGAGACCGATCGATAGTGCAGACGGGTGTGTAATATTTTAATAGCGAACAATGAGAGTATTATAATAACAGACATTAATTTTAACAACTGATACGCTTCTAGCACATAAGATTGTACAAATGATTTATATGAATAATACGATAAACCATGAAAGAAAGCGCAAAAAGGGAGCTAAAGTCGGTTCAGACATTCAGTTGCTCCAGTCTAAATTTAAACACCCCTTCTTAGTCATCAAAGAAGTATAGCCCCCTCCCCGAACTCACTTTATCTTTGTGGCAAACCAGAGCGCTCGAATGACGAATACAGCGAGTTATTTACTTTATACAAGTACGTCTAGTTAACGACATTTAGATTTTATACAAAACACACCCAGAAACACGCAGTCATTCGATCCCAAAATCCGAACCGAACCAAACTCCCCCAGCAGACCCATCAGTTAACAGATGTCATCAAAATCGAGCAAGGAGTAAAAGCAAATCAAATATATAGTCAATTTCTAACGATACATGCAAAAGTATATGGCTGGCACTCACGATATATATGTAAAACAAAAGTATATGAAGTTATATAAAGCATTTTAAGGATCGTAAACTGGAAGAGGCGCAGAATAGAGTGGGGTGGAAAGCCCCCTCCCCAAAAACTTATGTAAATCAAAACGAAGCTATAGCGAATAAACCGAAATGTTAACTAGTTATTTAGGTGAAATATACAACAAACCACACTCAGATGCAGAAATGCAGAGGCAGATGCGTAGGCATTTTGCAGATACAATACATTTACATCGAACCGTTAACAAGGCTTTGAAAGCTCAGAAGAATTACTCAAGCAGACACTCGAACACGACACAAGGACACGAATGTTCAACCAAGCAGAGTTGTAGCAGAGCCGCAGCAAACGAGAAAGGGCCGTTTAAAATAAACACTTTTGTTATCAACCAAGAAAAGAAAGCAAAACGAAATGCGACCGCAAGTAAGCGGGTTGCGAAAACAAAAAAACGAAGTTAATGTTCAAAACTAACTAATATATAACGAATATTATATAATACAACAAACTTAGACTGTATGTTATTTTCTCAATACAATACCTATAAAAAACAATAAAAACAGATTCAATAAAATGAGTTATCCAATGGCATTGGGCGAGCGTTTTTAATTTAATTTTAAAATACATAAATATCACAAGATAATAATTTCATTTTATTTTTTCTAAATTAAAATCTGTCATGTTTGAGTTTTAGTGATTTTTAAAAAGACGTTACTTAATTTGAATTTAAATAGCCACTACCTATCGACATATCGATATGGTCAGTTCTCATTTTTGCGTTGAAAATATCGGTGGGCTCCTAGCAAAGTTATCTACCACTTTTAGTAGAGCCCTCAACCTTCTGGCCAATTTAGGGATATTTTAATGATAAGCAGACGTTTTGAATTCAAAACGGGCACACTTCCCTTCCACGCGAAACCAAACACAAAAAACGTGTGTTTTGGTCAACTGCGTGTTTTCTTTTAAATAAATCTGTTTAAAGCAGATTTCACTTGACAAAAAGTGCATTTTTATAGACCGGCAGCATGAGGCGACCGAAGAAGGTGAGTTTCGATGGGTTTTGTTGTACTTAAGAGCCCCTTTAAGGTTATGTGTCTTGGGACTCCCGCGAAACCATATGGAAATTAATGTTTTTTAAAATATTTTCAGTACGAATCCGGCGAGGCCACGCAGTATATCAGTCGTCGGGCTGCGCTGAGGAAGCTGCAGTTGTCCCTCAACGATTTCCGCCGCCTGTGCATCCTGAAGGGCGTTTATCCCAGGGAACCCAAACATAGGCGTAGGGCCCAAAAGGGATCCTCGGAGATCAAGGTGCTGTACCACACCAAGGATATTCGTTTCCTGCTCCACGAGTCGATTGTCTGGACGCTGCGTGACTACAAGGTGGGTTATCTCTTGATTAAATAGTTATATCCCACAGATTTCATTAACCATAATCATTATAATCCCCAGATCTTCGCCAAGAAGAGCAATCGGGATCGCGCCATCAAGGATTTCCGCAATTTGAAGCGCCGCCTGGCCCTGTTCCCCGAAATCAAACTCGATCACATTGTCAAGGAGCGCTATCCCACTTTTATTGATGCCCTGAAGGATCTGGATGATTGTCTTACGCTGCTCTTCCTGTTCAGCACCTTCCCCTCGCTGCATTTGATTCCCCGAGAGCAGTCGAACCTCTGCCGCCGGCTGACCATCGAGTTCCTGCACTATGTGATCGCCTCCAAGTCGCTGCGCAAGGTTTTCATCTCGATCAAGGGCTACTACTTCCAGGCGGAGATCAAGGGCCAGAAGGTCACCTGGATTGTGCCGCACTACTATCCCTTCAAGCCGCAATCGCGCCAGGAGGTCGACTTCAAGGTGATGTCCATTTTCGTCGAGTTCTACACCATTATGCTGGGCTTCACCAACTTCCGGCTGTTCCATAGCCTCAATCTGGCTTATCCCCCACAATTCCCGAGCAGCGTGCTTCAGGATAGCGAGGATTCGCTCAAGGACGAGGCCAGCTTCGTGTCCGATCGCATCGCTGCGCTGAACTTCGAGCTGCTGCGCACCGATAAGGTGCAGGAGGACGAGGAGGAGCTGGACATCGACATGGAGCTGCTGGAGCAGGACGGCGACTCGAAGCGCATCATCAAGATGAAGCAGGAGGCCCAGGAAGTGGCCCGTCTGCGCACCCTTTTCAAGGGCCTTAAGTTCTTCATCAACCGCGAGGTTCCACGCGAGCCCCTCGTCATCCTCATCCGCTCCTTCGGCGGCAAGGTGTCCTGGGACTCGTCCATCTTCGCCGGCTCTGCCTACGACGAAAGCGACGAGACCATCACCCATCAGATCGTCGACAGGCCCAGCCTGGCCACGCAGTACATCTCGCGGGATTATGTTCAGCCGCAGTGGCTCTTCGACTGCGTCAATCAGCGCCAGCTGCTGCCCACCAACAAGTACTTCTTGGGTGAGAAGCTGCCGCCACACCTTTCGCCATTCGTGGACTCCAAGAGGGATAGCTACATACCGCCCGAGGAGAAGGCCCTGCTGGATCCCTCTTTGATTGAAACACACGGTAAGAAAGGGGATCTTGTAGATTAACATCTTAAGATTATAAAAAAAAAGTTTTAAGTCAATCGGTCAAAAACTTTTGAAGTTATGCTAAAATTTAGGGTACTAAACTCTTATACTTTAGGTACGTAGGTGCAACTTTAAGTGCGTTCTTTTTTATTTTTCAACTTTAAACATTTTATTTTTAAGCCAAAAGTCACATTTTTTAGGTGAAAACGCATTTTTGACTTTGGACTATCGAGTTTTTTAAATTCTTAAGCGAAATGTAAAAACAAAATGGAAATCCAATCATTTTTAGCGGAGGTACAGTGAACACAATAGTGTTCCAGTTTTGCCACCGATATATTAGCCGATAGTATCGGATATAAAAATTAGTGGATGTTATTTAAATGACACTTAGTAATATACAAAAGGTTTGAATTAAATCCATCCAAACGGTTTTTATAGAAAAAATCGCAAAGTTAGTCGATTTCCCCCTTAATACTAAGATAAACCCTCTATTAAATGCCCTTTTTTCCGCAGCCCAAAGCGATGACGAGTCCGAGGATGAAACCGAGAAGGAGGAGACCGTGGACCAGGAGCTGCTCGACGCGCAGCTGCAGCTGGCCTACCAACAAGAGACATCCGAGTACAAGAAGTACGGCGGTGCCGATGGCGTCAACGAAGACGAGGAGGATCCAGAGGAGGACGACGAGGAGGATCCAGAGGAGGACGACGAGGAAGACGACGACGACGAGGAGGAAGAGGTCGATGAGAAAACCAAGCGTCTGCAGCTGGAGAAGCAAAAGATGGCCGTGCAGTCGGGCAAGGTGCACAAGGTCAACAAGCGGCAGGTGCACAAGGCCGAGGTCGACGAGCATCGCCTGCAGGCGCGCATGGTGAAGCCCCGCCACCGCAACCTCTTCCGCAAACTGATCCGCGAGAAGCAGACCAAGGAGAAGGAGGAGTGGCTGCTGCGCAAGAAGCGACGAACCATCGAGGCCGACGAGAAGGAGGCCCGCAAAGCGGCCAAGCGGGAGGCGCGCAAGGAGGCGGCGGCCGCCGCTGCCAAGGCTTCCAAGCTGGCCAAGTGAGCGGGCCATCGTTTCGGGGGGTACTGTGTCTTGATTTAGGTTTAAACAATAAACAATGAAAATGTACAAGAAAACCAAACTGAATCTATTTTATTGTACAGTAATCAAAAGAATAGTTAGGTTACTTCTTGAAATGGTTTATTTTACAATTTGTTCGGAAGGATTCTATATTTTACAGCATTGGAAATAATTACATTTTTGTATCAACCAGTAAAGTTCAACAAAACGTTATGTTTACAGCATAAAATGATAATTACAATTCCTTTTCTACTGAGGATGCATAAAATCATTTGTATAAATATTGAATATATTTCGGCTGTATATATTTGTAAACTCAATCCAAAATTTTACAAATTAATGAACAATGAATTTAAGAGAAGAAGGCATACAATTTGCATAAAATAACTGCTGTCAACAGCAACTCAATTTCGTTTAGGGTATAAATCAATAAAACCTATCAATATTGTGGCCATTTCGTTGAACACAAAGTATAGAACAATATTGTTTAGAGTGGCTTTTTTCAGTCCAGAAAATGCTGGGATTCTGACTACGAATTTCTAGGCCCAGCCACGGGGAAAACTTAAATAGTTATTTGTGTGTGTATATCGTATCGAATTAGCACTATGTATATTGTATATGCCCTGACGTCCAAGTCTGTCGTGGTTCCTATTAGTCTACTTGTATATCGATCGCTAGTTGAGTTCCCAAGTCAGTTAATTCCGTTAACAAATGCCAAGATTCCATCGAGCTTCCATCATGATTATATCCTAGATTATCATCCTAGTCGCTATCGCTATCTCCCCCGCCCGCCGCTCCGTCCTCGTCATCATCATCATCGCTGTCCTCCAGTTCGGGCATCGGAAAACGCAAGAGGGCCGCAACTCCAGTCAGTTGAGCGAGTTCTGTAAAGAAAGATAATAATTATAAATATAATTGTAGAAATAACAAAGCTGATTTCTGTTATCTGCATGTTAAAAACCAGAATAGCTAGTAAACTAAAAGACTTAGGCCAATCAATACTTGATGCAAGAGAACTCTGACTATATGAATTGCAGCAGCTTGTCAACTTTTTCACTTTTTACCCAAGTTGTGGGCGTTCCTGCTGTCCGATCCCAAGGCTCACTGGTTGTTCTAGGCCATGACTCATGGAGTGAACTTCACATTTATCTCGGCCAGAGTGAACATTACAACTTCATGGGTTTGCCCAATTACCTCGGGATTATGCAGGTTGTTTATCAAGGAAAAACAATGTAAAATATTCAAGTATCACATTATCTCTGAAGTTTGTTTCTGTTTACCCAAGTCACTTCATTGTTTATATACTTATGTAATTTAAAGCAGATTAAACTGCTCCGCAGGCCACAATGGCTCATTAAATGCTTGCAAAGAGATAAGAAAGGGAAGTACTACAAAAAAAATACGCAAATTACTCGATTTATTGCAAAAAACTACAAAGTAAGGATGGGGGGATCTATTTCGGAACCCCCAGCGACCCATTTTCGAGTCGAAAACGAAAATCTTGCCAAGTCTCGGGTCTCAGAACACAGAAACTCGATGGGGGAATCGCATCTCGTGAGTCACCTGCAAAAAGGCTATTTAAAGCATTTAAGCAGATATTTGGAATATGTGAGATGCATTTTAATTAATTCTAAATTGCATACGAAAATGAAATCGAAAGTTTCCTTCCGAATGAGCCAGCGAAAACTACTTGGCAACTATTCAATGATGATGTTTTCTGCTCATCTCACAGTGGACTTTGTAATGTGGGAGACCCCTCCAAGAAATACACATATATACATATACAATATTTGTTTATGGGTAGAGGAGCGCATTGCAACGGGGAACTTAAAAATAGAATCTTTAACGAGGTCATTAGACAGGGGAAGCCAGCCTGCCTGCACATGAATATTCAAATTGAGCATAGAAATGGCCAAAGGTGGAACAAGTGTGATGTAAAGATGTTGCTGCTGGAGAAGAGATCTATTCTTGTCTAAAAGGGAAGTTGATTTTCGATCTATGAGTCACTGCGAGTTTCTTTTCTACATACGAGATGAAGAAGTTCCCCGGATCTCTTCAAGCAATACAAGGTTGAAAAAGTGATCCAATGGATTCCAATCTTTTCTATTTTTGTTAAACATCTGATGCAAGTGTCTTGATTTCTAACATCTATCTACCTAATTAACTGTTTAAATAAGTTTCTCTCATCACTTTACAATGACTCAGTAGATCGCTTTATTCTACTTTTTGAAAAGCGCTGGAATGGAACCCTTTATCTAGTATTTTAATATTGTATTCAACTTGATATTCAAGTTTTAATTTGGTGTTTTATACTCACGTTCTCCTGAGATGTGCATGCTGGAAAAGATCTTAACTTCGCCTCCAGCATCCCGAACTGATTCAACCAGATTTACATATTCCTTCCTAAGATTAACGTCTTGGCATCTAAAAAACAGTGGAAAATGTTTGGGTTATTAAATATGAAACGATTCTATCAATTAATATGCCCATTTATCACCCATATACGGATGTGAGTGCTCGTATCTATTGCACTTTCGCATTCCACAACCCAAACCCGTATAAATGGCGCATAGCTGAGTGCTGGATCATGGCACGTGATGGGCATAAACCGCCTCGAATAAGGTGTCAAGTTTAACTGGAAATAGTGGGTTCACCTCGTCACTCACCCCAGCAAAAGGGGCCATCACACATTATACTTAGGCACCGATTTGCATTTCAGATTCGCACAGAGCATGAAGTCACTTCACTAGTCAAGCAATGAAAGTGCGACCCCCATATAAAATCGTGGTGCAGTTCAAAAACCCCAGGCGAAATGACAAACATTTTTGCAGGTAAGAAAGTAAGAATAAGAATCGAAAGAAATTCCACATGAAAACCAGACGAAAAATGTAATTTCAATTATCATTTTTATTGACGACAACAAACCGCTTTTTGTTTGCGAAGAGAGAGTGCGATTCGGGACCTATAGAGCGATCATACTAAAGAAACCCCCATGTGGATTGTATTCGAAATACGATCCACAGCACGTGCAGAGCAAGAGAGCCGCGTCGAGAAAGAGAAAGAGAGCTGCTGTCTTCGCAGCGAAGAATTAGTTGCAAAGCGGCTTTCTTGCGGGCAACATCGAGCGATTCGAGGAACGGCAACCAAAACGAACCGGAGAAGATTGCCACGCGAAAAGAAAAATTGGTGCTAAGACCCCGCTAAAAGAAAAAAAAGAAAACAAAAAAGCAACCCCATCAAAACCGCAAAACTGCAGAAGAAAATTGCTCAAAAACACGCATAAAAAGATACAAAGGTGCGTGAGTGAAAGTTGAAGAGTGGGTTTTATCTACAAAAAAAGTACAACCTAATGAAGATGAAATCCTCCAGTTCAGTTTAAATTTTTTCCCGCTGACTCAGCAAAAGGCTATGCAGATACAATTTTATCTGCTACCTGTGTTCAGATACATTTTTTTTACTCATCCGCTAACCGCAAACTGCGATGAACTGTGAGCCATTGTTGTGTTGTAGATGCTGATGATGTTGCCGATGTACCTGCAATTTCGACCGTATCTCATGTTGCTGGTGTAGCTGCAATTGTTGCTGCCGCTGCGTGACAATGATTGCACAATGAAATCAATTGTTATAATGGAATTAGCGTGCACGAGGCCGAACACAGCCGTGAATTGTCAGCCAGAAAAAAGAGAAAGAAAATATATAGCCGGGGGAAAGTGGGGCTGAAAGCGGCCCAAGATATCAGTAAACGCGCGTAAAAATGTGTAATTAAATGTGCGAGGAGGGGCGGCAACAACAACTGAACTTGACTCAACCTACAAAACATGGAAAAAGACTAAAATCCCAATCGGATATATAAAACCTTTAAAAATATAAGCATTCACTTAAGCAAGGTTTCAATTCCATTGACTCCCCACTTTGTGAGATCATTTAAAACCAACCTTTAAGGCAACGCCTTGATTTTAAAGCATTTATTGGTTTGATCATTTTAAAAATTTCAAGCCAACTCATTGCTTACCCCATCAGTAAACCAAACAAAACGTAAACCCTTAAAGCAAAGATCCAATAAGTGATTCACTGGGCATTCCCTCCATTTAGGGTATCAATATCGTTTATCAACAAGCCCTTTCACTTCTTGCTCAATGGAAACAACCTTAAACTTTTCCCTCTCTTGTTGTCCCCTTTCACAATACGCAAATATATATGTAAAATATATAAACAATTGTCTTTCGAGACAATATTTACAAGCGTGGCCAGCTGCGACGAAAAAAAAGTCAACAAAATAACCGCTTAAAGGGGGCACGTTTTTGATGCACAAGACATGTTGCAAGGCAAAACAAAGAGGGACTAGAAAAACTGGTTGGACACATGAATAATATGCGAATAAAACCAAATCTATATGCAAGTGCATTCGAGCAGCAGAAGAACTTGATAAGTTAGCTCCAAGTGGATCATGTTACATGGCCTGTGGAATCCATCGAGAACCCAGAGAATCCAAAGTGGGGGCAGTGTGGAAGCGAGAGTGTCCGCTTCAAAAGTTGCCCGCCAAGTGATCCATAAACGGAGCGATTAAATAAATTAAAATTCTGAGTTTTTTTTCTTATTTCTCTCTTTTTTCGCCCACAACGGGTTCTAATAATTAGCACAAGAAATGGCTCACTGAGCGCTGAGGGATTCAATTCCATTCGGTTATAAAGCATTCCTATATACGTAGTACACAGCTTATTTACATCAGAGTTTCAGTTCAGTCTTTGTCATTTGCTAATCGAAACTCGTCTGGCGAAAACAGCTCTATAAAAAAAGACCCAAAACAGAGCACGCAAATCTAGAGCTCGGAAATCGACCATGAGTATCAACGGATACGGATTAAATGGGTGAGGGACGAATCAAAGTCTGAGGAGCTGATAGGAAAAACAGGAAGAAAGCTAAACAAACACATTTGTGGTAATGTTTTAATAACCTCTGGTGAATTTAAGTTATCTTAACTTATCTTAAACATTCATAAAAAAGGTTCTAAACATTTCTTATAATCTTTTGCTGATAAGAACTTTTCGTTGTAGAGACGAAAATTCCAGCTTATTATTGTCACACATTTTTATTAAAATGATTTCATTATAAAAATATGTGACTTAAATGTATAGTCACATATTTTGATAGTTTGATTTCTTTATAAATACGTGACTTTAATTTTGAATGGTTAATAATGCAGTGTACTGGGAGAATTTTGTCTTTTCCTTGAACCATTTTTTCGTTTTTAATTTAACACTAGATTGAAAATGTTAAAATATGTTTTATATTTTTTACAAAATCTTTAAACAATGTAGTGGGATTATCTGCCCATATTTCAACTCCACTTGACTGTACTTAACGCACATCTCTTTCCACTCCAGTTCCCATTTAAGTGCCGGCCACTTAACACCGTCGAATTGAATCGAATCCGAGATGCTCACGAGACAGCCCGACTACACCATCTCGGAACTGGGCCATCCCATCCACCAGTGGCCGGATTCGAGCATGTGCGAGTCCCTCAAGAAGCTGGACTACAGAAAGATGCCAAGTTCCCCGCCTTCACCGCATCGCCTCCTGCCGCTGAGGGAAACCCTGGACGATTGTTTCAAGCGGCTGACGATGAGGAGCAGAGAAGATTTCGAAGAGGATCCCGTTTGCCAGCAGAAACAGCGAAAGAATCAGTGGAACGAACAGCAGCGAAAGCGGTAAATCAAGTGGAAAACTTAAACAAAGCGTTTTATAACATTTCCCCATCTTGTTTCTATTTGCACAATGGCGAAACTATCAGCAGCAATCAAAAATGTCGAGATAAAGGCGAGTCAACGACGACAACGATAGCGACGACCTGCGATCTGAACAATTTTTGAGATTGGAACGAGTGGAGAATATATACCTATGGGGGAGCCAACCCAAGCGGACTGATTAAATGTGCTAAAATAAAACACCTTTTGCCTAGAACATTAAGTACATTAAATGTTAAGTAAAGAAAAAAGCAATAACACTTAATTTCAATTTAATTGCCAGCCACGCAGTTAGCATACGAAAATATTCTCAAATGGAATTTCAACGGGCCCATTAAATTGTAAACAAAACGCGGAGAAGAGTAGTGAATTCGACAGAATAGAACAGAATAGAACAGGCTGGCAGCCAAAAATGGTGGGGAGACATTGGGGCAACCTTGATCATGAGCACGTCGTCAGGGGGCCAACAAATTAAGGCTCGGACGTGCTTTCTTTAAATGGCTAAACGCGTGCGATCCAAGTAGATCTGAATTCGCAGCGGAAGAATCTGCGATCATCTAATGCTGATGGAAGTCTGAAGTTGTTTATGGAGTGGATGGCGAAATGGAGGAACATCTAGCGAGTCTAGACTTTAAAATGAATGGATAAAATGTTAAAAGTTAACAATAATATCGTCTTGAGACAATACATTTTTTCTAAGAGGTAAAATATTAAATTTTAATAAAGTGTACTTATTAAGAACTCTAATATTTTGTTCAATAAACAAAAAGTATTTCAAATTTGGAACCAAGGACCAAAGGGTTTTTAAAATAATTAATTTTTCAAAGTAAAAACTCGTACTATTTCCAGATTTAAACCTTATAGCTGCCAAGTTCTAGCCAATCGAAAATAAATTAAAAGCCACTGTCGCAAAAATATCAAACTAATTAAGTCGCAATAAAGTGTACTTTTTAAGAACTCTAATATTTTGGTTAATGAACCAAAAGTTTTTCAAATTTGGAGGCAAAGACCAAAGGGTTTCTTTAAATTTAAAACTTTTTAAATTTAAATTTTGTAAAGTAAAAACTCGTACTATTTCAAGATTCAAAGCTGCAATTTCTGCCAAGTTCTAACCAATCGACAATAAATTAAAAGCCACTGTCGCAAAAATATCAAACCAATTAAGTCGCAATCGGTAAAAAATTGAAATTGATTGCTTCCTTTGAGATTTTCTTAATTGCCCCAATACTTGTAGTCTTTCCGGCACCCAAAGCAGACTGGTGACATATGTTCCATGTGGCGACTTAAGCACACCAATTGTCAACGCACTCTGCGTTAATTTTTCAAAGTTGAAGGTTCCTGCTTTCGCTTGCGATCGTGCTCTTGATCTCTCCGCTTGATTGGGCATAATGTGTGCTCAGCTGGCACATAAATATCTCGGCGCAGCCAAGTGGAACTCACCTAAAGAGGTTGTCCGAGATGAGCAGCGTTTCGATGGCCTGGGACTCGGCGGCCTGGAGGACGTGCTTCTTGCCGTAGAAGGCCTTGGCGGGCTCACATTGCAGCATCATGTAGAACTGCTCCAGGGCCTTGACCTCGCCAGCGGCCTTGGTGTCGGACATCTTGGCCAGCACGGCGGGATCCTGGAGAACCTCTGTGGATTTAAATTGAGGCGTTAATATCAAATCACTCGAAAGGAAAAGAATAAAAAGCTCACCTTTCAAGGAGTGCTTGAATCCCGAGGAGGCATGCACCAGCATGAACTTGCTCTTGTTGTCCAGCAGCAGCTTGTAGTCCATCTTGACGGCCTGCTGGAACATGTAGTCGTAGAACTGGTCCCTCACAAATCCCGGCGAGGCGATCAGCACGCACTTGACGATATCGAAGTTGACGTGCCGCAGGATGCTCTGCATCACCTGCTCGTAGAACTTGGCCAGTCCCTTCTCATGCTGCTGGACGCTGCCCTTGCGCTTTCGCGGTATCGACACCTCGATCTTGCTCCGCACCAGCGTCATGCTGGCGGTGATCAGGCAGACGTGGGCCAGTCCCTCCTGCATCACGACAGCGGCCACATCCGCCGATTGTGTGGGATCGCAGGCCATTTCGATGCGTTCCAGGGCGATGGTGTCCCACTCGGGCTTGCGCAGCTCAAACTTGCGATTGAGCTCCAGATCGAGCGTGTGATAGGCGCCCATCTTGACGTACTGGTTCTCCTCGATGTTCCGTCCTTTTAGGCGGAGCACACAGGCCTGCGTATCGAAATCTATGCTCTCCACGGCGATGGTTAGGGTGGTGCGCACCCGACTGCTCGTGGAGGAGCCGGTGGCCGTCTCATTCTGCACCTTGCGAATGGTGGTGCTGCGCACGCTGTCGCCCTCGGCTATCAAATTGAAGGCGTGCCACATGTCCTCCGACTCCTCGGGCATCAGGGTGACGTTCCTAGGGGAATTTCGAATGATATGTTAATGGTAAAGAATATATCGAATATCCTGAACTTACCCCTGCATGCCCTTGTCCACATATTTGCCCAGCAGCTTCATCCCTTGGCGTTGCTGGTCAGGATTTGGTTTTCGTTTCGTTGGCTAACCCGAGTGCTTTGATTCCGCTCGCCGCTTGTCACTTGCAGCCAGTTTCCAGAGATTCCCTCGCTCCACAAAGGCGGCGGTGCATCGTTGTCATTGGGTCCACGCAGTTGCTTAAATCACACGGCTGATCGGATCGGCAGGATGGTTACAGTGATGGTGGTGGGCAGTGGAATCGGCGGACAAGTGACATTCACACGGCACTCTGCGGGACAAGCAGTGCTGCGCGGCTAGCGGGTTTCTAGCTAGTTTCGGCTAGCTATTCGCCGTATAGTTGAAACTCACTAGATTTCAGTTTTATTAGCAGATGAACTGTTTTAAAATTGAAATATTATGTTTGATGATAGTGGTGAAAATTGACATTAAAGGATAATATTTCTTATACATATAAAAAAACATATTTAAATATCATCTAATATATTTTGAACATCTGTTACCTTAACATAAGTTTATTATATCCTTTTAGTTTCTACAAATTCTACACTTACTTAAACAATTGTGTTTAAATTTTCAAGTAAAGCCTAGTACCAGCTGTTAGGGCCGTTTTCTCGTCCGTTTGTTAAATTTGAAGTAGGGTTAAAACCTTAAAATCGTTTGGGAAATCATTGTTTTAAGGTATTTAAGTTTTTCGAATAGATAGCTATCAGGGACTTTGACAGGGACTCGAGAAAGCGGCCCTAAGTGTACCAAGCGAACGAGAAAACGGCCCCTGTGAAATAGCAAACGATTAATAAAAACAAAGAACTTGTTAATTTTTTTAAGCATTGAAAGTATTTTGAAGATATTATTAATTTAATTTTATTTTAGTAAAATCGCTTGTATTAAAACAAACTAGCTTTTTTCTAGAGAAGCTGCCATCGCTGTCGGCTTATCCAGCTGACAATTTAGCTTAGTATTTTTTGGTATTTTTCAAGCAAAGTATCCGGTGGCCGGAAAACGGTCACCCCAATCCAACCATGTGCAAGGTAGGGATGTCAAATATTTTAAAAATATCGTATCGCTGATATATTTTCTTTAAGAAAAATATCAATATGATATATAATATATCGCCAAAAAACATCGATATATCAGATACTTTTGATATTTTTTTCAGTTGAATTTCAAAATTTTAGCCGCGTAAATAAGCTAACAACAAAGACTTTTGCCCTAAAATTAATGTAAAAGCACTAGAAAAGTATTAACCAAATACAACCCTAGTCAAAAGTATTTTCACAAATTTGAATGTTAACTGTACTCATATTTTGAACTTATAATATAAACATTTTGGCACCTATGGAAAGAACACTTCAATTCCGTTAAGGGGGAGATACATATAGAAAACAAAAAAAATTTAATTTTTTTTTATTATTTAAATTGATAGTATAACTCTTTAAGAATGTGTCATGAAAGTTTCAGGAAGAAATTCGAACTATTTTGGAACTTATACCAGGATGACGGCACCCATCTTCCTTTGCAGTAGATATATTTCATTACTTTAAATGCGTTTTTCTCGAAACCACGTTTTCGCCAGCTGCGGATCGTGTATCTTAAAAAATAATGGTTCGATCATTATGCTGCTTTTACAGAAATGTTTGTAATGAAATTGCCTACTGTCTGAACCTACTTAATGTAGACATTTGCAAGTGTAAATTTTTTTTTTAAGCAAAAACAACAAAATAAATATGCAAAAAATTGATTTTGACTTTGAAAGGGTGCCAATTCCAGAGTACTTGAGATATTCTATGTAAGTTAGGTTCAGACAGTTTATACATTAATTCTTAACAAAATAAACTTAGTTTCAAAAGAATCGGATCTACACAGCGACCTGTGGACGATCCGCAGCTGGCCTACTTTTTTTTAATATAGCCTGGCAAAAAATTCCCTTGGCCGCCATTTTAAAAGATAAAAAAAAAAATTGTAAAAATTATAAAATAAAACAGAGTAATCAACATGCCAAGTTACGAGATCCCAGCACAATTCCTTATTAGTTAAAAAAAACACGAAAAACATGAAAAAATTGCAATTCTATATGTATCTCCCCCCTTAAATGACACAAAAATTTTCTTAACCCATTAGGCAACCTTTAAAAAGTGAGCAAATTAGACAATTTTTTTGAAAGTCAAATTTTCAACTTTTTTCCTGGGGCTCAAAACAAAAAAGTTTTGATGCTAAGTTGTTCCCCAATCAAAACTAATAATAACTGCAAAGAAATAAAATAAAAATATATTTTTCCTTGTATTTTTTATGATTTTTTGAAAATAGCTATTTTAGCCGCTTTTTCTTCCTTTTCATACAAAATTTTACTGAGTTGTCTCCATTCAAAAAACCATAAAAAATACAAGGGAAAATATTTTGAAATTTTTTTTGCAGTTATTATTAATTTTGATTGGGGAACAACTTTGCATCAACACTTTTTTGTTTTAAGCCCCAGGAAAAAAGTTAAAAATTCGACTTTCACAAAATTTGCTCACTTTTCAAAGGGGTCTTAATGGGTTAAGAACATTTTTGAATCATTTTAACGGAATTGAAGTGCTCTTTCTATAGGTTCCAAAAGTTTATATTATAAGTTAAAAATATGAGTACAGTCAACATTTAAATTTGTGAAAATACCACCACCCCTGTAATTCGTTTTATTAAATTCCTTATTTTATTAGTTCCACACAAAAAAGTTTTTGTTTTTCAAGTGGGATAACATTTTTGATGTATTCCCACTTGTTTTAATAGTTTTCAAATAAAGTTTGCACTTAGTTTGTTTTTATTATTATTTTTTTTTTTTGGCTTTGATTTCAACGAATGTTGAAAATGAAGGTTGGTCCCACGACTAGTGCATATGACCAGATACTTTGTCTTGATTTTTGTGTTACACAAACTTAACCTAAAAATGAATCCACTCCACGAGGTCCCTTGCCCTACCCGGCGTGAAATGTGCGTGTTTCTTCAAAGGCCTGTGAATGTGGACTGATTTATTAATTTTACCGAAATAAATTTTAACACGCTTAATTTTTTGATGATGATATGAGAGATGAGATGAGAGAAAGATATGCAAATATCAAATAATATCGAAAAATAAAATATCGATATTGTGATATTTGGCTAAATAAATATCACGATATAAATATATTTTTTTTGCAAAAAATATCGATATATTGATATTTTGATATATTTTTGACATCCCTAGTGCAAGGAAGGTCCATCAAAAACAACCGATTTGCATTAAAAAATACACATGTTTATTGAAATTACCACTTTGTACGCATGTTCACTTAAGTCTAAACTAAAACTAGACTAGCAGTCGCTCGATCTCCTGCTGGATGGAGGTGATCTGCGACTTGAGCTGGCTGCCCTCGTTGGTGGTCACCGAGCAGGCGACAATTGGCCGCGAGACTCCGCAGGCGCGTCCGAGAGCCTGCTTGGAACGCACAAAGACGTAGGGCACGTTCTTGTCCTCACAGAGGAGCGGCAAGTGCAGCAGAATCTCGATGGGCTCCGTGTCCCCAGCGAGCACCACGATGTCGGCCAATCCACGATTGAGGGTCTTGGTGGCCTCGTTGGCTCCCTTCCTCAGCTGGTTGTAGTTCAAGGCCTGCTGCAGCAGATTCATGATCTTGGCCGTGAGCTGGGCATCGGCCAGCGGGAATGCCTTAGGATTCACTTCCTCAGTCTGCAAAAATACGTTAACTGATTATCTTTTCTTATTTTAAAGGATTGCAGTGGGCTAACTTACCATCTTCGGTTATTTGGTTTAATATTTTACAGGAAAAACGCGTTTTTAAATGCAACCTCTCGGCTTGTTGCTTCACTGAGGGCAATTTGTTGGGAATTGCTGGAACAATTGAAATCGCTTTCAAAACACGTGCGTCGGCGTTGGAAAACCGTTCGTGGGCAGGTCAGAAATACCAAATGTGACAACAAACGGTCATACTGGAACGCATAGCTATAGCAGCCCTGGTGTAATACTACCCCATATAATTTAACGGAAACTCTAATTAATTAACTTTAGCTTTTACTGAACTCATCTTTGAGTCTTACTATATTATTTTTATTTCAGATTTATTTATCAAGTTTTGCACATTCAAGTGACGATCATAGAAAAGTTGTGATTATACTTTTAACTAAATAAGTAATTTCATTCGTCACGCTTCAGCAACATTTTTAATTTACTGCCTGGTCAGGCATTATCTATTGCCGAATGAGACAATTTAAGAAAGTGTATTTAGTCAAGTCAATAATTAATTTCCCCCAAAAAAGTTTATATCAGCAATCTCAAAGTTTTTACTCTTACAAAAGCAATAAAATGTTAATAAATGAAAATAGTCAGATTTTCAAAAATAAGAATAAGAAACTATGACAGAGCTCAGTTTATGATCCATTGGCTTTTTTGAGATAATCCGAACGCAACAGCGTCCGCACTTCAGGGATTACTCACGGTTGCGTTGGATTGTGGCTCCAATTGGTCGACCTATCGCTGGTCTGCTCAGATTTGCGTGCGGGGGAGTCGATGAAAAATATTCATAAATATCTTTAAAAGAAATGTAGTCCTAATATTTATTTTGAGAAAAACTTTGAATAATTTCTTTAAGAAAACCGTTGTATCCCAATTTAACCCGTTAGTAATACATAGAGAAAAATCGATATCGATAAGTCGATGTTTTTCCACCACTGTCGTGCGGGGGCGCATTCGCAAGTCGAATCAGTCGAAAAAAAATTTTGAACGTGTTGGACGGGAGAACTCGGTTCGGCGGCTATGCGGGTATTTTTAATCTAAGCCATCAAATCCACAGCTACAGTGCTTCTATCGATCGGAAAGTCGAGGCAATATTTCTGAAAGTGTTTACAAATCGCTGGCATCGTAGTCGTTAAATTGCAAAAGGTAAATTCGCGCAGCGAAAATCGCAAAAGCAAAGTCAAAAAACAAACTCAGAAAAGGAAATGAATGTAAAAAAATCGATTATCCAATCTGTGTGCGGGTGTGTGTGTCTGTGTGCGCGAGCGAGCGCTGTGTGTGTATGCGTGTGCGATTGTGTTTGTTTAAACCACGGGATTTTTTATGCCCAAATCGAAAGGCGAAAATTTAGCACACCGAGCAATAAAGGCCAATTTAACTAATTTAAAGTGTGCGAAATGTGGAAAAGTGCCTGCGAAGAGAGTGCTGAAAAGAGATCGCTGAAATCAAACCAGAAGCGCATACACATGCACGTAAACTCGCGCACACACACACGCGCGCATTCGAGTGAATGTAAAGAAGCAAAGGCAGAGAAAATGAAAAAAACAGAAGCCAAAGGAAAAGACAGTGCCAAAAAAAGAAGCGTATTTAATAATTTAAATAGACAAAACTGAGAGGGAAAATGCGAAGAAGAGGCAGCAGTGCGTGCAAATGCGTGGGAGCGAGCGAGCTGGCACTACAACATCAGCTGTTTGACACTTGACACGATCGCAAGTCGCCACCTCTCGCTCTCTCTCACGCTCTCCTTCGCTCTCCTCTTCTTCTTTTTATTATTTTCTGAATTCGAGTTTATGTGCGATATTGTTTAGCTTATTTATTCAGTGATTAAAAGCTGCTTTCGAACTCTAAAAAGTGCCAGCAAAGCGCTGTGAGAACGAGAAAAAAAAGTGAGAAAAAGCAGTAAGCTTAAGTTAAAGATCTCGAGAAAACTGGACTCTTATTTTTAGCCTGTACCCGAATTTTCCGCTAATCTGTGCCGTTTTCTCTTCCGTCTCTCTTTGCAGCTTCTCAAAACGTAGAGTAAATCGCGAGCATAAGCAACCTAAAGTGTTAAACCAAATGTTAGTCTAAGCCTAAAGTGTAAAACTAGTTTAAGACCCACTAAACACAAGAAACCGTGCTAATACCAGAACTTAAACGCGTCTAAACCAAAGCGCCATTAAAAGCAAACCCCCAAAAAACAAAAAGGGATAAACAGCGAGTAAAGAGAGCTCCACGTGAGAAGCTCTCTTTGGCCCCAGCAGGAGCAACTATTTCATCCGCACCGTTGTACCGTAACTCGGCAAAATAGCTAAGTCCATTTTGCAGTTCCTCAAAAAGAAAAAGTCCCATCATAGTTCCGCATCCGGCGAGGGCAAGCTACAGGCGCAGTCCAGTTGCGAGGAGGAGGGCGGAGCGGCAGCGGGAGCGGGAGGAGTGGGAGCGGCAGCGGCATCCCCAGCGGACCAGGCTAGCAGCAGCAGCAGCGGCCCCTCGTCAGCAGCAGCCGCCGCCCACAGGAGCACGCCCCCCGCCGCCTCCAGCACGCCCGGTTCGGGGGCGGAATCAGCAGGAGCAGGAGGATCAGGAGGAGGAGCAACAACTAGCTCCGGCGACCAGGATCAGGCCCAAGTGTCGGCCAGTGCCACCTTCCGGCTATCCTCGCTAACGGGTACCATCTCGAAGATGGGCAACAACGCCACCACGTCGAACAAGAAGGTCGATGCCGCCGAGACGGTCAAGGAGTTCCTCGAGCAGGCCAAGGAGGAGTTCGAGGACAAGTGGCGCCGCAATCCGACCAACACCGCCGCCCTCGATGACTTCGAGCGGATCAAGACCCTGGGCACCGGGTCCTTTGGTCGCGTCATGATCGTCCAGCACAAACCCACGAAAGACTACTATGCCATGAAGATCCTCGACAAGCAGAAGGTGGTCAAGCTGAAGCAGGTGGAGCACACGCTGAACGAGAAGCGCATCCTGCAGGCCATCCAGTTCCCCTTCCTCGTCTCGCTGCGCTACCACTTCAAGGACAACTCCAATCTCTACATGGTTCTGGAGTACGTGCCCGGCGGCGAGATGTTCTCCCATCTCCGCAAGGTGGGTCGCTTCTCGGAGCCCCACTCGCGCTTCTATGCGGCGCAGATCGTGCTGGCCTTCGAGTATCTGCACTACCTGGACCTCATCTACCGCGATCTGAAGCCCGAGAACCTGCTGATCGACTCGCAGGGCTACCTCAAGGTGACGGACTTCGGGTTCGCCAAGCGGGTCAAGGGTCGCACCTGGACGCTCTGCGGCACGCCCGAATATCTGGCCCCCGAGATCATTCTGTCCAAGGGCTACAACAAGGCCGTCGACTGGTGGGCGCTGGGCGTGCTCGTCTACGAAATGGCCGCCGGCTATCCGCCATTCTTTGCGGATCAGCCCATCCAGATCTACGAGAAGATCGTCTCCGGCAAGGTGCGCTTCCCGTCGCACTTTGGGTCCGATCTTAAGGACCTGCTGCGCAATCTGCTGCAGGTGGACCTGACCAAGCGCTACGGCAATCTGAAGGCGGGCGTCAATGATATTAAGAACCAAAAGTGGTTCGCCTCCACCGACTGGATTGCGATCTTCCAAAAGAAAATCGAGGCGCCGTTCATTCCGCGGTGTAAGGGTCCCGGCGATACGAGCAATTTCGACGACTACGAGGAGGAGGCGCTGCGGATCTCCAGCACCGAGAAGTGTGCCAAGGAGTTTGCTGAATTCTAGAGGAGCTCTTCTTCGCCGCCAGTCAGCCCAAAATCCCCCTCGTTCTGCAGTCGACGTCTGCAACTGCAATTGTATCTGCAACTGCAACTGCAACTGCTCCTGCTGTTGCCACCGCATTACCGTGGCATTGCGGATCACGTCCTCATCGTCGTTGTCGTCGTCTTGTCTATATGTCTACTACTTACAACTACAACAACTGTAACAGCCCCCCACAACACAACAACTACTGCGTCTATCTGTCTGTCTGCATCTACTCCACATCTAAACTCTTTTGCCAACATTGGATTTCTTACCAAACACAACAATTTACATAAACGTAAGTATTCAAGGCAATGTACTAAAATATGGGGGGTTTTTCCATTTATTGGCCGAGTTATCATAGGTTGGATTAAATGGGGTATTTATAAGTTCACAGTTCATACTTTTTCACAAAATAAATAACTACAATCTGTAAAAAATAGGTATTATATCCAAATGACGCATTCAAATGGGTCTTTTACCAAACTTTAGACTATTACGTCAAGAAAAATAACGATTGACATCGAGAGAAATAGAGGGAAAGCTGAGATCCTTATTTATTATGCCATATATCAATCTGCAAATTCACACAGAAGGCTATTTCTCACCATTTGCCGGATGAGATATTAATCTATTGACTGTATTCCGTACTTTCTTTCGTTTAACGTAAGCGAAGGGTATTCAGGGCAAGGAAGGGTGTTATTGCAGGTTTGTTTTTGTTTTGTTTTGACTTTAGCTTGAGATTGATGGACGAGCCGCTTGATTGATTGATTGCCTTCAGTGGAATGTTTTTTTGTCCGTTCTAGAGGAAGCCGCAAAGGGAGAGCGACTGAGTGCCAGAGAGTTGATTATGAGACAAAAGGCATTTCAGCTCGTCCGTCAATTGTACACGGAATTCTTTTAATTAGTTTTCCTCGATGACTTGGCCTGTATGCAATACATACGGATGTTCCCCTGCGGCTGCTGTCCCTACGTGATGTTTTTCGAATACAAAACAATACAACTTACTCACAGTCAGAGCCTCAAAAGTCTGTAAAACCCCCGTTAGCATGGAATCATTAATTGCAATAAGCGTCAGAATGCCGTCGTAAACGCTAACTGTAACAACTGGCTGTAATTCAGTCGGGTCTAATCTCTTCAACAGTCAGACAAACTAGACAGCTGATAGTAAGAATGCAAACCAATTACGTTCAAAGGAATTCCTTGTGATTAAAGAAAATTTACACACAAGTTGGTGGGTTGTAAACTCAACTGAAATATATTCATTAAGTTTGAGAAATTCTTAAAAATTCACCCAACTATTCTGTGAATCTCAATCTCTCTTTCAAAATGTTCTTGCTCTAAATTGAATTGCAAAAAGCTTTCCCATTTTAATTTCCTGCGTCTGCCACAATTTCCACAGAAATATAGTCATTCACACTTGACCCATTTGAAAGGCTAACAAGAAGGGGAGAGAAAGCCATGAATAATGTCAAAGCAAAAGGCAGTAAAAGAAATATATCTTTTATTTCATTTTATGAATTATTCCCCCCTTCTCGGCTTATTGCGTGTCCGTTGGCCATTACCGAAATTGTGTTGTGCTTTTATCAAAGCCAAAACGCTGCTGGTAATTAATAAATTATAATAAGTTTTATGTCCAAACATCAAGAGCAAAACAAAAGCAAGAGCTGCGTGTGAAAGCCGCATAAAGTTTAGAAATTGTGCAAAATGTAGAAAAAAAAAAAAATCCCACTAAAAACAGAAACGCAATCAAGATGAGTTGTAAATTCTCGGGGAAATGCTTTTCAGGCATCAAAGAAAAAATGCTTCAGATATTCACGCAAAAGTGCGGTAATCGTCGACCATGACCTTGCCCGACCTTTGGCCCAGCCCCAAAAAGAGTTGTCCATCCGAATGTGATTGTGTGTGGATTTCTCCTTCAACGATTCCCCTGTATTTCCATGCGACATGTGTCGTCTACAGTTTTATTGGCACCAATTATAATCATTTTCGTTGTTTCTGCCGAGAAGGCCATCAATCATTTGGTTTGGGCCAAGTCAATTAGACTCCGTAGTCATGGGTACTAAGTATCGGGCATTAGGTTTACTTATTTACATTAACTCGACGGCTTTTCTGATTGTTTATCAATGCTAAAGTGGATGGGGGGAGGAGGATTCGGGAGGGGGCTTCGCTATCAGGGGGCAACCAGCTGGGTGTGGGGTGATTGGGAGGCACGCCCTAGTAGTCGATTTTCACTGATAAGCTAATTAAACTTTTGCTTTGGCCTATGGCAACGAGCTAAAGGTTTTTAGTTCCTACAGTAGAGATTCTTAAAGGAGAAAGGGAAAGCGGGAAAATGTAGAAGCATTGAGAAATAAAACTAGAACTATAATATTCTGTATATAATTATGCAATTGGACTTTGATTAGCAGTTCTTCAATGCCACTTTATAATCCCTTTTTAGAGAAACTCTCTATTTAGCTAGAGTTAATTGTTGAAATGAATAACGGCCTACATCTTCTTTAAACTTAAAGATTATTGTGTATTCGTCCAAATAATGCTATGAATGCAAAACGCAAAAATTCTAAATCACTCTTAAAATAATAATAATTTTCTGGCTTCTGAAAATGTCATTTAATGATTAATTTTCTCAATGCGCTTTAAAGCCATTTGATGAAGATTATTTCTAGGCCTAATTAAAGTCTAATTAAATTTTCGTTTAGTAAAACCCATTTTTTGTGTAGTATCAGAATGTCGAATAACTTGATTGTACAGTTCGTCTTCTTGCTTCTGACATTTGGTAAATTTGGAGCACATCGAAGCCAAAGTTCAACTCCCAGCTGGATGTCGCTGAGCAAAACTTGTTCTCAGAAGCGTTGCACAAGCACACAGCAACTACCCAGAAACTTGGATTCAACACGCATTCGTCGTGCTCCAATAAACACCTAGACCAAGCCAAGTTTAGCAGTCGCGGTGGCTAAAAAAAACCCAGAGAATGCAACTGCCAACGCGCTTGTGAATCTGAGACGTTGTCTGGCCAATTTCGGACTAACTGTTGGAGGAGGAACGGGGGCGTGTTTGGCGGTAGATCGCAGACAGCCAGAGACAAACCGACTAGGCCGGGCAGCCTTGTAACAGTGCCCTCAAATCTCTAGTCGTCGAGCTTTTGCCAGCACGCACGCGCTGCAGCTGCGGCCAAGTAAATGGCGATAGCAACAATAGCCCAGAGACAGCAAGACAATGGTCGTAAAGAAGAGAAAACAATTAAGTCGAGGAGAGGGGGAAAACCCGGAATTTTCCGAGTATTCAATAAGATAAATGGTTCTGGTTCCCGCGGTGACCAATTCCATTTTCATTCCTGACAGCGGGACACTTGAAGAAATCGTAGTTCATTGCTGAAAACCTAACGAATTTTTTTTTGTAGGTTGATTAACTTAGGTAAAAATTATTTTTCCGTTGTTAAGGCAAAGGTTAACTTTTTTAACTAACACAATAAAAAAGTAAGAAATAAATATAAACATTGGCTTATAACATTTTTTATAAACATTTTTCTCTATTTTTTCTGTGTAATCTCTTACAATCTCACTGAGTCAACGCGACGTATGAGCAATATGCAAAGGAAGCAAATGAAAAAAAGAGCGAAAAAGAAGGCAAAGCAAAGCTCAAGTTGTATTTTCGTTTTCCTACGCATGGAGAATAAATTAAACGATTTCTGCCTTTGCCTTAATTGTGTTTGTTGATTTTGTTAACTTTTTCGCTCCGTTTCATTTCATTTCATTTCGTTTGGTTGGGATTTTCTGTTTCACTTTTGCAAACGGGTTTCGTGCGTCTCAGTCTGTCTTTTGGGGCTCCCTAGCCCCCTTAACCCCCCGGATCCCATTTGAAAATGTTAGGAGTGGCAGTCGCCGAATGCAGGCTATAAAAAACATTTAAATTGAGACAGCCACAGCGAGGCAAACTGGCAAAATCATTTAAATAACGCACACGTCGCCATGTTGTGCTCGTTTTAATTTTTGTTGCCTTTTTTCACGTCTTTTTCTCTCTGTTTCATTTGTGCAATTATTTTCGTCGTTTTTGCTTTCAAAATTTTAGTCGCTGTTTATTTATTTTCGCCACTCTTTCCCTCAGTTTGTACGTTCTAGTGGAATGCGAGGGCATTTTGTGTTTTTCGCATGCAGCGGAAGGGGGGTGTGGGATTGCGACCCCATAAAGTATATGTTCTCGATCAGGATCAGTGCATGTGGATCATGCGATCTCGCTTGTAGTCCGCCTTTATCTTTTCCGGCCAGGCAATTGTTTGTCTAGCCTTTTATTGATCTCGGGTTCCGATTGATTGTTTGTCTTTTCTCTCTATGAAATTGTTTTATTTCTTTCGCGGTTCTACTTTTATGTTTGGGGAATAGTTGTTGATAAGAAAATAAATATATTTCTTATATTCTTCCTAAAATCCCAGCTAGATACTAGATATTCAACAGAACACTATTATATTGAATGTATTTCTCGAATTTGTATGCAATTTATAGTAAGCGAAACCAGCTTGTTAGAGCGATTTATCTAATGAAATCTTTCCACTTGATTAAAGCGCATCTTATGGTCGAGGAATACGACTTTTCAAGCTCCTATGCGCTGTGTATCTGTCAGATAAACGCGAACTTCTCCAGCCACCCTCCAATTCTATCTGTCTGCCTGTCCCGCACAGTAACCAGCAATTTTCATTCAGAATTTATGGGCAAATAAAATAGAATTGAACATGGAAAAACGCTGCACAATGAAAATTGAAATTTTCTGTTTTAGTTTTCGTTTTTATTCCCCATTCCCCGTTGTTTACCGCCCGTTATTTATGGACAGGTGCTATGTACACATGCATTCGACGGAGAGGAATGACTTCATGTTCAATTTTCAGGCGCGACAAAAATACAAAAACAGAGAGTGCAGAGTAAAAACCTTATATACTTACATACATGTTTCCCTTTTATTTGCTATCGTATTTCTGCGAATTGGAAATTCATTGATTCAATTTAATCTAGCGATATGTATGTATTGTTGACTTTCAAACACTTTCTGTTGATAACAAGTTTATAATAAAATTGTGCAAAGCGTACGGGAGGCAAAACATCATAGAGTGTTCCCCCCTTGAGGGCTTATCAGCCTGGAATCATTAAAAAAATGAAACTTATTGACGCCAGTTGCTGTCATTTGAGAGAGGTTGTTGCTGTTGACAATGGGCTAGAAAACTAAAACAGAAACTTGGGCATAAGCTGAAAACCAAACAACAGCTGGCGAGCAGCGTATTCGCGATAAGAACGAAGATGAGATAGAGCAAACAAAGAGAGTTATTAGATTCATATTTATGCGGTTCCCGGCTCCGAAGTTGTTCCCTAACTTTTCCCACAAGTTTTCTCAGCATTTTTAATTTGTTTTGTTTGGGTTTCTTTCTCTTTTCTGTGGAAATGGGTTAATATTATGCACTCCATTCGACGGGGGAGTCTTTAATAAGTCGGGAAACAGTTTGTGTGCTAGTTTCTGCAAGTTGTTGTTACATCATCGATGCATTCATTTCCATGTGTCCTGATAACAAAGGCAGCAAAATAAAAGCCGCTTCTGCACCCCTTTTCCTATAGACACATACGTATATTTTCCCTCTGACGGCTAACACACAATTACAGTTATAGTCGTGCGTCTAATTGAATTTGATAAAAACCTAGCAGAGAGAAATACAATTAGAATGCGGTGGTGGGGCCTACAACTGTCTCTTTCCCGCAAATTCAATACAATTGACATGTAATCAATAATAATTGTTGTTGTTGCTGCTGCTGGCGGCCTGACATTGAAAGAGGGCGGCTCCCGAGGGGGGTGATGGGTGGTGGGAGGGTAGCCAGGTGCTAGGTAGCCGCAAATAAATGAATATTTTTTCTCTTCGCCTCCGTTCACGCAAGGCGTAATTATTGATTAATTATTTGTGTGGGCTTTGTGCCTTCTTTTTCTTAAACACTCACCCATCGAGAACTACACTAAACAAAAAAAAAAGCGTAGGGGTGGGCAAAAAGGTCTGCACTTGAACCTTTTTCTTTTGCCATTATTTTTTCTTTTTTTTCTTAATTGAATCATCAATCTCTTGGGTGACAAAACACTTTACCCCCGCCTGTGTTTATTAAGGTTTCTTACTCTCTCCATTTTATATTTTCTTTATTTTTAATGTGCTCAATTTAATTGGGTTACCACGCATCGAAAGGCTGACGTCATTTGCGTGCGATCGGGGCACTTGTCGGGCATTTTCTAATCACTCATAAACAATTGCAAAGGTGTCCTTGACCTATAGTGGAAATCTCCCCGCCCCCTTCGCGAGTTTCTCTTACAACTTACAACTCGCAATTTCATGCTGCGTTAGTCGCAGCAGTTAACACTCGAAGGCCATCCGCTGATAATTTAACTAATTCTATGCACTCACCTTGGACAAACGCTGGCACAACATGACGTATACGCAACACGTTTGCATATATTACGCATACGCAATGTGGTCGCGATTAAAGCCGCCAAGTGTTGGCTTTGTCCTCAGCTGTTGGTGTCGAATGCTGCCAGCAGCAGATAAATGTAATTACTGTCTTATCATAATTACGAGTGAAATGAGACCAGAAAAGAGATAATAATGCGAGAGTAAGCAAAGGGATAAAGGAAAATGAAAAAATAATAATGACGATGGATGGCGAGGGTTTAGCTCATCGCTCATACGCCCAAGTGCACTCCACACACACAAAGACACAAAACCAAACAGCTTCCCACTGAATTTTTCGACCCACTCGCTGCCCCCCTTTGCTCTCGACGCCCCTTTGCTTGGCTGCTTCAATGTTGCTGCCGCCGTAGTTGTTTCAAATTTTAATTTTATTTTATTGCAGCTCACAAATTTTGTGCCATGTCGCCGGCGGCGCTGTTGCGTGTAAGCCCCTGCCCATCCTCATCCACCCCCCCTCCATTATCCTCAGTGGCTTCCTCAGTTTGGGCGGGGGTGTACGACAAGCGAGGGCTGATTAAAGAGTACTTTATGGCCTATTATATTTGAATCTTCTGTTTCCTCTTGTTTATCATTAAATCAAAGAAAATAGTTCGACTAAGACATGACCAAGTGACCAACAAATTAATTAATATGATGTATGATATGTTAAGACTTTTTAATTCTTTTTAGAAATAAGTGTTTAAAATTTCAAAAAAATTAGACATTCCAAATCTCTAAAAGACATTAATTTCAAAGGCCATGAAATAATTTAAATAAATGGCATACAAATACAAAGTACAAACTGAGTAATGGAAAAGTTATATCCATTTAAAGTTTTATGTTTTGGGTATTCCCAAAAAAACGGTTTGCTTAACTAAAAACCCGATTATTCCATAAACAGTTTTTAAACTATGAACATTTTATGTATGATGTGAGATTATAAAAAGTCAAGATATTTTTAGATTTATTTTTATGACTCAAAAGTTTTCGAAATAAATAAAGAAAATAGCAGCAATATAATATTTGAAAGGTTAAAGCGATATCATTTTTAAATACACCATGTGTATAATAATTAATGAGTTGCTTATTGAAGAGTGATTTTCTAGATTGAAGTAGATGGAAGTTATTTATAATTTTTCTCTAAATATCCAGAACTATAAAATCGGTCGACTATAGTAGGTGCGTTAGTGTGTAATGTTAATTGCCATCATGCGCGCGCAAGACAAGTTGAGTCTTTTTATGGCCACCTCTTGTGCCTGGAACGCTCCTCCTGCTCCGCTTTCCCTGCGGGCACCAGTTGACCCAGCCCCGGCAATCCCTTCTGCCTTCCGCCCATCCTGACCTGCCTGCCTGGCCCATCTTGGCCTGCCTTGCCCCTGGCCTTTAATTACTTTCGTAGTTAATTTTGTTACAACAAAAAGCGACAGTGGCAGCGGCAAAAACAGTGACAATGTCATTGCAAAAATTGAAATTTGCTTTTAATTTGCGCTTCTGTGTTGTCGGCGGCCCATCAGCTTTCGTAGTCCCCGATCTTCCCCCTTGCCACCCCCTTAGCCTCCTTCCGCTTGTCATGTTTCCGTTTCCTGTTCATTTCATTTCAATTCGTTTCGTTTCGTTGACATTTTACTTACGGCTCGGTGAAAATGTGAAAATGTAAAACTCAGAAGAGAATAATATACGTGAAATTTCGTTTTAATTGATTTGTCTTGAGGGCCAACATCGATTTTCCCTTCTTTGTGTGGCCTCATCCTCTCGCCTCTGCACTTTTCCGCTTTTCCTGCCCCATCACGTTGTCTGTCCGCTTTCGCTTGGCATGAAAATTGATTTGATTTCAAAGCCAAAAAGTTTATTGACATTAGATACGGCGCGAGAGCGAGCCTCTGTCCATTTATTTCTTTTACTTTTTCGCCATTTGCCCCAAAAACTTTTCCACACTTTGATTTACGAGCAGTGGCGCAGTATCGATGGGAGGGCGCCTCGATAATTGGCATGCCGATGCCCACTCGCATTCCAATTCTGTGTTCTTTCATTCGCCAATTTTTCCCTCTTTTTTTTTTTTTTGCATTTGTCTTGCATTTGTTTTGTTATTAAACAAAGTTGAGGGTTCAAAGCGAATGTCTGGACGTGAGAATGGGCAGAGCAACAAAAGCGCCGAATGTGAATTGCAAATTGCAGATCTCCTTTATTCGGCGTTTATTGAACTCGGAGTCAATGCAAGAAGAACAATCCCCTGATTGACCAGTGACGAAGTCCAAAAGAAGGGCATTCAAGTCAAAAGTTGGGGGTAAACTTGGAATGTATATTGGAAATAAAAGCTTAGAAAAAGATTTTGATAAATAACCGTTTAATTATTGTGTTGAACTTTTACTCGTCTAAGAAAAATCCTTTTTTGATTGACCAAATTTAAGGTCATTCAAGTGTAAGACAAAGCAATTCGGGAAAAGTATTTCAAAGGATATGGATTTAAATTGGAATTTTAACTAGGACAACTGAGTCCCTGAAATTCACTTTTATTTAACTCTATTTCTCCTATTTGTGCGACCAAATTATATATCTGGGTTTATGATTATTTCCACATATAAGGATGTTAGAAAGGCACTTAAGATTGCTGACATAGTTTTTGACTTTGGTCTCGTTTGCGTCAACCTTTTTCCCTGTGTGTGTGCTTAGTGTTTTATGCATTTTAGAAAAGGCCAAACGACGGCGACCAGGGACTGGAAACAGAGGACAGAAAACAGGGACTGGGACAACGACACATTCCATTTGTGCCACCCACACAGAAAAAGCTGTGCTGGTTCCCTTGCCTCCAGCCTTTGAATATTTGATGGCCACAAAACACAGACTGCATTTTAAAAATGCGTAATTACCAACAAGGGAAACTCGACAACTGACTCCTTGGCAGACAAACTGAATGGGGGAATGTGAAAGCTCGATTGTAGGATTTTTCGGAGTGAGTCAGTCAGTCGAGTGGTCGAGTTGTCGCGGCAAATGAATGAGCTAACCATAAATAAAGTGAAAAATCGTCAATGACTCGTATTTATACTCCGTTGTAGGTGGGTGGGTGGCTTGCAATATTTATAAGCTCCGGAATATGTAAATAACTTAAGTAACAAAAAGAAGATAATAGAAAGTGTTGGGAGTGGAGAATGTTTTTCAGGAGTTTTTTTTGGACAAGGCGTTGAAGAGACAACTACAGCAGCTGGTCGAACATAATTTTCGTAATATTTTCCTAGATATACAGCTCTGTGAAATATGTTCATTTATAGATTGTATATGCATATACTTTATGTATCTAAAGATATTTTCGGCTTGTCCACTCTGGCTGTCTTGCTTTTTTGGCTGATTTATTGAAATGGTTTTCGTCTTTTTGCGCCAAGCTGAATCAAGAGAAAAATTATATCTTCTTATATAAATTAATTTATTTTTCGTATGATTTAAGTATCCGCTTCTTTGTTGTTGCTGCTGTTGCCATTCGTTATAAATAAATATATTTTGATTGTTCTTTTTGGCAACATTTTTGTCATTGCGTGGAGGTCAAATGTGTTGCCAAGATTTCACCTGCCACCATTCCATTTGGTTCCTTCTAGTTAGGCCCTCCACGAACCAATTCAACTGAGTTCTCCGACAAGTTTGAAGCTCTCGGAAAACTTGCTACACCAAATGAGTTTTCAGATTTGTTCGGGGCAAATTTGTATGTTTTATGCAACAAAGAGATTTTATGAATATTTCAGTAGATCCATCTTTTCAAGCCTTTAGAGTTTGACATCAATATTAAATGCGTTTACTTGTCTTACATTAAAGTTGGATATTTTCCTCTTTTTTTATGAGAGCTTCAAGGGCAGCTTCGATTGGTGAAAGTTTCTTCTGTCTGCGTCCATTAGTTTGGTTACTTTTGTTACTTGGCTCACGTAATGCTGTATTTTTTCGGTTTTTGGCCTTATGTAATTCGAGACAATGGCAGACAAAAGATATCTTGTAAATTCAATGCCAAACTCCAGCAACTCACATACGATACCTTAGCTGGGTACACTGCACCTCTCCGGTTTCGGCTACCCGAACGTGTGTATCTCTATCTACAAAGCTACCTTTGCGTGGGTGCAGCGGCAGCGTTTCAGTGACGCTTTTTGTTTCAGCGATAAAATGCCGCCTGAAAATATTTTTTATCTTGTTATTATTCTTTTTGTCCCGCACAAATTCGAGTGTCAGTGTTAGTGTGTGTGTTTCGTGTAAGAGATTTAATATAGCACGCTGCTGTGGCTCGCTGACGTCACGAGATGCCCATGGAAGGTGGGGGTGGATTCGTGGAGGGGTGGAGCAGCGAAGCATGTGCCGAGCTGATAAGGCGAAAAATCTATAAAACTTTTAACATGCCAATATGCCCGGGGACATGGGAAAATTTCTCCCAACCCGCGGAAGTTTTTCCGCTGTCTCTGTGGGAGTGGTCTTGAATAAAACTGTTCGGTTGAAGTGCCAATAACGCAGTTATCGTTCAGCTGACTTGATTGCAAGAACCGTCCTCAATGGGATCCCGTTTTATAACTTGATATAAGCTTCCTTTGATGGGCCATTAACAGGGTTGAAATGCGTTTTTTAATCCTAATATTAGTAGCTATTAACAAGTGTTACTACAGCATCTCGTGAGTCTTAAATTTATAAAAAATAAAGTACTTTTATATTCACTAACAAATTAGCAAGTCCAGTCACCCAGTCACCCTAGTTCTTTGGTTCCTTAAACTCATAGAAACGACCTTGACCCAGCTGAATGCCCTGAGCCAGTCGAGAAACGAGAAATAAGCACAAGCCAAATTAAACATATTAATAGAATCGATTCGCTTTGACTTTCGGTAGTTTTGTGTGCTGAATGATTTAGTGGGTAAGCTTGAGCTTAATTTGATATGCGGCAGAGGTTAAGAAACCCGAGTAGGAAGTACAGTCGGGGCCCCGAGTCAAGGTTGGGTGGCTATGGGACCGGACCGGATCGTATCGTATCAGATCGGAAGAAGTCGAAAGACGAGCTCAATAAATTGTGAATTATGCAAATGCATGCTTGATTGACTTTGCAGACACAACTAACTCTTTTTCCCTTGTCTCTTTCAGCATTTCCCTCCGCCTTCAAGTGGGACAGTTTGAAAACACAGCCGGAACAATCTTTTCATCTAGTGTGTGAAGTGTGAAGCCGAGTGGAAGGACTTGGAGGACGATTTGAAATCCGGATACCGAAACAAGATATAAAAACCGATAAAATAATGACTTACACATTAATATTCATTCATAACATATAGCGTATTTAACCACGAGACTACAGATATTTAGTTGTAAACGTAGCTTAGTCTTAACTAAAGAATACAAGAGAAACCGATAAAGAACCAGCAACAAAAGAAGCAAGTGCAAAGCGAAAGTGAAAGGAAGACACTGAAAAAAAACAAAGAAAGATAGGAAAATCATAAGAGGAAATCCAGGAGAATTATCATCTAAACCAGGGCTAAAGAATTTCATTTCATTTCGATCGATCGATACAGATCGGTCACTCAGTCAGCTGCAGAAACAACAACAACAACAACAAGTTGAGAGTATAAAACGCTTTAATAATTTTTAAATGAAATACAAAAGGTTAAATTTAACACAAAAATTATGGCGCACACAGTGTGCTTGACAAAAAAAAAGAAGCAAAGCAACATCAACAGGCAAACAAAGAAAAGCAGGCGAATCTTACGATAAATTAAAGGTGTAATGTGTACGGGAAAAAAGCAGGAACGAGTTGAAGCCCTCAGAAAGCCCAGCAAAAGCAAAAGTCGCCGCCGCATGAGGACACTTGTCGTTGGCCAGGTGACCAGTGAGTGAAATCAGTCAGCCCCCAGCCTTTCCGCTAAGCGAGCTTCAGTTCCAGTAGCCCCGACAATTTGGCGTCTTTACCGTAGACATGTCTCTAGATATTTATATATATATTCGCGTATATAAATGTTGTACAATCAGCGACGACGTGCAACAATAAACCAACCGCCCGAAAAAGAAACAGAACCCCATAATCAGAACATTATTGTCATAGTCACCTACAAATATGCGCACTCACTCATACATTGCTATCCATCCAGCCACTACTCGCAAGGAACCACATCAACTACTCAAAACTCTAAGGCATAACCACTAAAGCAAGTAAAAGTAAAAGAAGCAACCACAAGAAACATTTGAAACGCAGCAAGAAATATATAAAGTAAAAAACAAAATCTAAATGTTTACATTTAAGCCACATAAAACAAAAAAAAAACAAAAACAAAAAAATCAACTGAAATTTGTGTGTATAAAACGTATAAAACTTAGCATTAATGAAATTAAAGAAAGAAAGAAGAAGCGGATGCCGAAGATGTCGACGGAGTCATGTCTATATATACACAAAGATTGAAGCATTATACTTACCAAGGGCAGAACAAAGAGAATATCATGTGCTAAGTATAATTATTTGGAGCAGAGAGCAGAAATGAAGAGAAAAAAGGCAACTATAGCAGTTATATTCAAGTAAATATCGATCGGAGTATATTTATTGTTTCGTTACGTGCGGAGAGGTGTGGCAATCATTTTAATTGGCCGCTGGAGATATCGAAATCGTTTCCAAAAAGTTTTCCAAACCTTTCAATTTTAAATGGCACTTCTCCGTACTCCTTTCCCTGTTATTATTTATTTTTAAAAGTCAAGACTTTTAAATTATGTTGTTGTTGTGAGAAGAGAGATATAAAGAGCGAGAGTAACTCGGGATCGTAACAAATAAAATTAATTTATAAATACTTTTTATGTTTTCTATGATTATTTGTTCAACTAGTTGCGAGACAAAAGTCATAAATAGGCATTAATTAAGCATCTAAATTTAATGGTAAAAATAAAAGTAAAGAAAGCAAGAAACCCGAAATCAATCGAGTTAGAAGACGATGTTTGTAGCCACGAAATGTTCACATCACAACCAAATTGTCTCCCCTTTATATGAAACATACACATGTTTATGTGTTTCTGGCTAGTTTGTGTTAGGAACTATCGGCGATCCTTGATTTGTGTCCCTTGTCAGTCACCCACACACATAAGCATAATCTGAAAATAATCTACGGTAGTCTGAGCATAAAAATTTAATGTGGATATATGAAACTAAATATATATATTCGAAACATATGTGCAGTAAGAGAGCAAGGAGTTGATCTTTAATTTTGTGCAATTTTTGTTTTGTGTTAGTTAACTTTTAACGGTGGCTGTTGGCACTGTTCTTTAAACGTGCAGATACAGTATCTGAGGAGCCCAACCTGAGCTTTACTATCTGACTAACGATTTGAATGCTTTACGTTCTTGTATTAAAGATACATTATGCACTAATTTGTACTACTCTTAATATATCATCTATCCTTTTTTTTTACTCCCCCTCAGTCAAAAAGTTTGTTCGGTTAGGTTAACCAGCAGAGAGGAAACCTTTTCGTTGTTGTTTCATGTGAGTGCGTGCGAGGTACATATTAACAAAATAAATAAAATGAATATTATATATGTGACAGGAACCAGAACGCAAGAAAATGAGAAGGCAAAATTCAAGTTATTTAATTTAGTTTTTACACTTAAGTTTATATAGCAAGTGCATATATATACAAATATATATATATTTAAAACCAACAAATAAGATGAAAAATCTTGAAAAAAAACAACCAAACAAACACAACAAACAAGCATACAATAAAAAACAAATTTGCGAAAAAAAGTAAAAGAATTATAAGTAAAACGATGGTTTAACGAGGAGAGGAAGAGAAACAAGAAAACACAAAGGATAAGAAACAAACAAACAAAAAAACCAATAAAATGAATTTGAAATCCTTAAAAAATATATACACAAATTGTGGGCGTTCTTATTGAAGCTGTTTGATGGGGAATCTGCTTGGGGAAGTTGGGGGACTTATCGAAGTGGAGCTGGAGATTGGTATTGCTAACAGCTGTCCATTATATCCTTTGTGTCTCGCTCGACGAGCGTTTTAAACGAGTATGTGTGTCAATGGAATTTCAAGAGCAAATTCTGCAAAGAAAAACATCTGCGTTGCACATTCTTTATTAATCCCCCCTTTAAGTTGCCGGATTTCTTGGCAAAGCTTTGGAACCCTTACATCCCAGATGCTTTATGAAGATATTGAAAGTATTTATATTAAACTGTATTGCAGATTCCAAATTTCTGTACAACAGAAAACTTGTAGAATGTCAATACCATGCAGATAAAATTACATCAATTACTTTGATTAATATTTGATTTTTAAAAACATTT